ACTTTCGGGAATTAGGAGTGATGGCTGCACAACCTTCTGAACGTACGAAAAATCACTGAATTACATAAAGTGAAAAATTTTATAGTATGTGAATTATATATCCCATTTGAAAAGCAAAATGGCAAAATTTCTTCCTAGACAGGAAGACACAAACTGGTGAAACCCACTGGTGATTTAACACCCTCACTGAGAACAGTGTTAGAGAAAAAGGTGTGGAGTTCCCCCCCAAGTGAGAAAAGTGTTAGAAAGGTGTGGAGTTCCCCCCCCAAGTGAGAACAGTGTTAGAGAGAAAGGTGTGGAGATTCCCCCCAGTGAGAACAGTGTTAGAGAGAAAGGTGTGGAGTTCCCCCCAGTGAGAACAGTGTTAGAAAGGTGTGGAGTTCCCCCCCAGTGAGAACAGTGTTAGAGAGAAAGGTGTGGAGTTCCCCCCCCAAGTGAGAACAGTGTTAGAGAGAAAGGTGTGGAGTTTCCCCCCAGTGAGAACAGTGTTAGAGAGAAAGGTGTGGAGTTCCCCCCAAGTGAGAACAGTGTTAGAAAGGTGTGGAGTTCGCCCCCAAGTGAGAATAGTGTTAGAGAGAAAGGTGTGGAGTTTCCCCCCAGTGAGAACAGTGTTAGAGAGAAAGGTGTGGGTTTCCCACCAGTGAGAACAGTGTTAGAGAGAAAGGTGTGAAGTTTCCCCCCAAAAGTGAGAAAAGTGTTAGAGAGAAAGGTGTGGAGTTCCCCCCAGAGAGAACAGTGTTAGAAAGGTGTGAGTTCCCCCCCAAGTGAGAACTGTTAGAGAGAAAGGTGTGGAGTTTCCCCCCCAGTGAGAACAGTGTTAGAAAGGTGTGGAGTTCCCCACAGTGAGAACAGTGTTAGAGAGAAAGGTGTGGAGTTTCCCCCCCCGTGAGAACAGTGTTAGAGAGAAAGGTGTGGAGTTCCCCCCGCAGTGAGAACAGTGTTAGAGAGAAAGGTGTGGAGTTCCCCCCGCAAGTGAGAACAGTGTTAGAGAGAAAGGTGTGGGTTTCCCCCAGTGAGAACAGTGTTAGAGAGAAAGGTGTGGGTTTCCCCCAGTGAGAACAGTGTTAGAGAGAAAGGTGTGGGTTTCCCCCAGTGAGAACAGTGTTAGAGAGAAAGGTGTGGAGTTCCCCCCAGTGAGAACAGTGTTAGAGAGAAAGGTGTGGAGTTCCCCCCCAGTGAGAACAGTGTTAGAGAGAAAGGTGTGGGTTTCCCCCAGTGAGAACAGTGTTAGAGAGAAAGGTGTGGAGTTTCCCCCCAGTGAGAACAGTGTTAGAGAGAAAGGTGTGGAGTTTCCCCCCCAGTGAGAACAGTGTTAGAGAGAAAGGTGTGGAGTTCCCCCCAAAAGTGAGAACAGTGTTAGAGAGAAAGGTGTGAAGTTTCCCCCAGTGAGAACAGTGTTAGAGAGAGAGGTGTGGAGTTTCCCCCCCAGTGAGAACAGTGTTAGAGAGAAAGGTGTGGAGTTTCCCCCAGTGAGAACAGTGTTAGAGAGAAAGGTGTGGAGTTCCCCCCAGTGAGAACAGTGTTAGAGAGAAAGGTGTGGAGTTCCCCCCAGTGAGAACAGTGTTAGAGAGAAAGCTGTGGAGTTCCCCCGCCAAGTGAGAACAGTGTTAGAGAGAAAGCTGTGGAGTTCCCCCCGCAAGTGAGAACAGTGTTAGAGAGAAAGATGTGGAGTTTCCCCCCCCAAAAGTGAGAACAGTGTTAGAGAGAAAGGTGTGGAGTTCCCCCCCAGTGAGAACAGTGTTAGAGAGAAAGGTGTGGGTTTCCCCCAGTGAGAACAGTGTTAGAGAGAAGGTGTGGAGTTCCCCCCAGTGAGAACAGTGTTAGAGAGAAAGGTGTGGAGTTCCCCCCAAAAGTGAGAACAGTGTTAGAGAGAAAGGTGTGAAGTTTCCCCCAGTGAGAACAGTGTTAGAGAGAAAGGTGTGGAGTTTCCCCCCCAAAAGTGAGAACAGTGTTAGAGAGAAAGGTGTGGAGTTTCCCCCCAGTGAGAAGTGTTAGAAAGGTGTGGAGTTTCCCCCCCAAAAGTGAGAACAGTGTTAGAGAGAAAGGTGTGGAGTTCCCCCCCAGTGAGAACAGTGTTAAGAGAGAAACGTGTGGAGTTCCCCCCAGTGAGAACAGTGTTAGAGAGACAGGTGTGGAGTTCCCCCCCAGTGAGAACAGTGTTAGAGAGAAAGGTGTGGAGTTTCCCCCCAGTGAGAACAGTGTTAGAGAGAAAGGTGTGGAGTTCCCCCCCAGTGAGAACAGTGTTAGAGAGAAAGGTGTGGAGTTTCCCCCAGTGAGAACAGTGTTAGAGAGAAAGGTGTGGAGTTTCCCCCCCAAAAGTGAGAACAGTGTTAGAGAGAAAGGTGTGGAGTTCCCCCCCAGTGAGAACAGTGTTAGAGAGAAAGGTGTGGAGTTCCCCCCAGTGAGAACAGTGTTAGAGAGAAAGGTGTGGAGTTCCCCCCCAGTGAGAACAGTGTTAGAGAGAAAGGTGTGGAGTTCCCCCCAGTGAGAACAGTGTTAGAGAGAAAGGTGTGGAGTTTCCCCCCCAAAAGTGAGAACAGTGTTAGAGAGAAAGGTGTGGAGTTCCCCCGCAGTGAGAACAGTGTTAGAGAGAAAGGTGTGGAGTTTCCCCCCAGTGAGAACAGTGTTAGAGAGAAAGGTGTGGAGTTTCCCCCCCAAAAGTGAGAACAGTGTTAGAGAGAAAGGTGTGAAGTTCCCCCCCAGTGAGAACAGTGTTAGAGAGAAAGGTGTGGAGTTTCCCTCCAGTGAGAACAGTGTTAGAGAGAAAGGTGTGGAGTTCCCCCCCAAAAGTGAGAACAGTGTTAGAGAGAAAGGTGTGGAGTTCCCCCGCAGTGAGAACAGTGTTAGAGAGAAAGGTGTGGAGTTTCCCCCCCAAAAGTGAGAACAGTGTTAGAGAGAAAGGTGTGGAGTTCCCCCCCAGTGAGAACAGTGTTAGAGAGAAAGGTGTGGAGTTCCCCCCAGTGAGAACAGTGTTAGAGAGAAAGGTGTGGAGTTCCCCCCCAGTGAGAACAGTGTTAGAGAGAAAGGTGTGGAGTTTCCCCCCCAAAAGTGAGAACAGTGTTAGAGAGAAAGGTGTGGAGTTCCCCCCCAGTGAGAACAGTGTTAGAGAGAAAGGTGTGGAGTTTCCCCTCAGTGAGAACAGTGTTAGAGAGAAAGGTGTGGAGTTTCTCCCCCTCAAGTGAGAACAGTGTTAGAGAGAAACATGTCAGCTTTCAGGACAGGGCTGCCAAAGCTGTGTGTGTGGCAAGGAGATGTCTTGGGGCTTTTTGCAGCAAGGTAATTTCTGGGCAAACTGGCTCATACTGACTTCCCCCTCTGGAGCCCCAGCTTCAGTAAAAGGTGATGGTCTGGCCTCCGGGCAGCCTGGGAGTCAGGCCCAGATAAAGGTTTCCAGCCTCGGGGAGGCTGGGCTGGGGGCTTAGTGCAGGGGGCACCACGAGGCATCTTGAGCCTCTCCCGTAAGAGCACCTAGATGAAAGCCAGGGATAATTATGGCTCTGGCCTGGGTTGATTCCACAAAACCCTTTGTGGTGGCCTGAAAGGAAAAGCGCATAGATGCAAAACCGTCTCTGGCTTCTAGGACAGAAGGACCTTTGAAATTAGAAGACATTAAAATAAAGCTTCGGGTAAAAGGACTGTCATGTTCTCGCTGCAGATTTGATGTAAGATCAAAAGAGAATTGATGCAGAAAGCCCACCTAGTGTGCCAGGGGCACCCCAACACAGCATGCATTTTCTACAATGTGGCGTTGTCTCTCCCATAAGGGCCAAGGGTTCCCCTCTGGTCACACTTCTCTGCTTTTTTGTCCTCCACTTTTTTTTTTGAGAAAGGGTCCTGCCCTATCACTCAGGCTGGAGTACAGTGGTGCAATCACAGCTCACTGCAGCCTTGACCTTCCAGGCTCATGTGATCCTCCCACCTCAGCCTCCCAAGTTTCCCTCCACTTTCTTTCTTAGGGGCCCTCAGGGATATGTAAGAGACATGAGACTACTTGGGGGCTTCTGTGAGACAGGCAGGCTGCCAGCAGTTGAGCTGTCCTTGTCCTGTGGGCCCTTGCGATCAGACAGAAAAGATGATGCAGCTGCCTTGAGGGGCAAACACAGGCTCCCTCAGCTGCCGTCCCACCAAGGGAAGAGGCCGTCATCTCCCAGAGGGTCAGGGAAGGCTTGGCAACCGCCTGGACCTGCACAAGGGTTCTCCTCCAATCCCCAGCAAATGGAGCTGAATGGAAATTCTGCCCTACATCAGCAGGCATGAGTGTCCTTCCACTTGTCACCACACCTGCCCACATCGCATCGCCTTCTGGCAGTAATGCTGATATTCCCTGGCCCACACCCCCTTTAGTGAGCAACTCGCCATGCACACGGCAGCCCAGCCGGAATCCTGTAGCCTGGGCGGATATTGAGTGCATTCAGTCGTGAAGCCTGAGGCTCCCAGCCAGCACATGGCGGGTTTTGAAGGACAGGAAGGGGCTGGCCCTCACTGCTCTTCTCAGACGGCTGGTGCTAGAGAAAAGCACACAGCTGCACTCACCGCTCTGCCTGGACTCACGTCCTCGTCCCCACCACTGGGGGCGGCAGTGAGCCTCCCTGACACTGGTCCCGGGTTGTGTGTAGGACTGTGGGGCGTACCCAACCCCAGTGTGGATCCAGAGGTCTCCCTCTGCAGCAAGCCGCGGAGTCTGGAAGGGCCCTGTGCTAAGGCCGCTCTGCCCTGCTGACCTGGGGCTCCGGCTGTGTGGTTATGCTGAGCTCCCCCGAGAGTCTATGCATGCGCTGCGGAGACCTGGGTCAGCAGCAGGGCCACTGTGGCGTGGGCACCCCAACACCTCATTAGGGGTGTTAATCAGCACAGATGAGTCAGCTGGCTATCACTTGGTGCACACGGACAAGTGCAGGAAATCCAGGAGGGCAGGGGGCACAGAATGCTCCCCTACCTGAGGACAACCCAGGCCGGCAGGTGGGGCCCCTGAGAGCTAAAAGCACCACAACTCCGCCATGTCCACAAGGCACTTTCTTTATGCATTCGAAGCCACAGAGTTCACACTCAGGTTTGCTCGGCCAGAGGCCCAAAAGTCACCCGCTCTGCCGCAGCTACCACCTGAGCGGCTTGCAGCCCTGGCCCAGCTTGGCCTCCATGTAGGCGTCATACAGCACCTTTAGGTGCAGCAGCAGCTGCTCCAGGTTCTCACCGGTCACCGCCGACAGTGCGATGACCTCCTGCCCCATGTGATCCCGGAGCTGGGACAGATTGGCTTGGGCTTCAGGGAGGTCAATCTTATTTGCGACGATTGCGTGGGGCCTCTCAGATAGGCCCTCTTCGTACATCTCCAGTTCGTATTTTAAATCGTCCACTTGAGTCCACGGCTCAGGCAGAGAAAGATCCACCACGAACAAGAGAAAGCAGCAGCGCTCAATGTGCCTGAGGAAGGCGGACCCCAGGCCCCTGTTCTGGTGGGCGCCTCGTATGAGGCCAGGGATGTCGGCCACTGCAGGGAAGACAGGCACACAGGGTCACTACTGGTCCCACCCAGCACCAAGTGCGCCTTCCACCTCAAGTCTGGGAGGGGAGGCCTGGAGCCCACCATGGAGGCTGGATTTCCTGAGCTCTAACACTTTCCTTTCAAGGAATGGCTTGAACTGAAGCCATCTGATCATCCGTGTGATTCACTGGACTAACTGCCAGCCAAGGAATTGAATGCTCTGTGATGGCTGGGAGACCAGCACGATGATGGATCTGTCTAGCAGGAGACACTTAACCCCTTCTTATCTTTCCAGCTTCAAATGAGATTCAAAAAAAGGAAAATGGCTTCCTGCACCCTACTAATAATTTGATTACTGATAGAAATTACTAGAGAGTACTCTGCAGATATAAAGTGCCGTACGAATAACCTCACCAGCAGGCTACTTTTAATGGGTATGTTGTTTTCTGGGAAGAAGTTTTATTCTTTCAAATGGCACAGGAAAGCTTTGAAGCCACGTGTTGTGACGGTGCTGAGCCTCCACAGATGAAAGCGAGGGACAAACCGAGTGGGAAGAAATAATGTCCTCAGGCTGAAATTTCAACTCAGGTTTCTAAACCGTAACTGACAGATGCCCAGGGGGATGGGGTGGGAACCTAATTTTCATAGAGAACAGGCTGATTAAAATTGTATAAATTAAAGCCAGGCCCAGTGGCTCATGCCTGTAATCCCAGCACTTTGGGAGGCTGAGGTGGGCAGATCGCTTGAGATCAGGAGTTGGAGACCAGCCAGGCCAACATAGTGAAACCCCGTCTCTACTAAAAACACAAAAAATTAACTGGGCGTGATGGCATATGCCTGTAATCCCAGCTACTCAGGAGGCTGAGGCAGGAGAATCACTTGAATATAGGGGGTGGAGGTTGCAGTGAGCCGAGATTATGCCACTGTACTCCAGCCTGGGTGACAGAGTGAGACTCCATTAAAAAAAAAAAAAATTGTTTAAATCAGGAAAACCTATGCTACATTTTAAATGGAAAGCTAAATTTAAGAGCCACGTGATTATTTTTCTGAATTACATCATTAAGTCTAACCTGTGAGAGATTTCTGGAAGTTCTACCTGCTATTTGTTGGTGGCCTTCATAGTGGACGATCCCGACGTGGGGCTTCAGGGTGGTGAATGGGTAGGAGGCCACGGCAGGTCTGGCATTTGAAAGGGCCCGGAGAAGTGAGGATTTCCCGGCATTGGGGAATCCCACCTAGGAGAGAGAGGGAAGATGGTGGCGTGGCCCTCAGCAGCTGGGGAATCCCACCTCGGGGAGAGAGGGAAGATGGTGGTGTAGCCCTCGGCAGCTGGGGAATCCCACCTGGAGGAGAGAGGGAAGATGGTGGCATGGCCCTCGGCAGCACCTGTGTTAGTGCGGTCTGTAACTAACTTGATTCGTGGGAGGATTTCAGGACTGCGGGATTCACAAGGGTGACCAAGTCAGCATTGTCCTCATAGGAAAACTGTGAGCCGCACAGCTGTTCTCTTCTTGGCCACTGGCAAACCCCCATGGAGAACAGGGATTTTCTAGAGTTCAATGTGTACAGATGCTGTTGGCAGAGGGGACACTTACCATCCCAGCGTGGGCCACCGTCTTCAGCTCCAGGTGGAGAACTCGCTGCTGTCCTGGCTGTCCAGGGGTGCAGGTCACAGGGGCACGGTTGTCGTTGGCCAGGAAGAAGCGGTTGCCTTTCCCTCCTGCCCCTCCCAGTGCGGCAATGTACTCATCACCCAGGTGAGCCAGGTCAGCCACAACTCTGTTTCCCTCCTTCACCAGCGTGCCCACGGGGACCTGGGAAACAGTAGGCGCTCATCAGCTGAGCTGTATGAGCAGTGAGGAAAGGCGGCCGTAACTCTCCTGAAGCAAGCGCTAAGGGAAGACAACAAGAGTGGACTGTGCCCGCTGGCGGCTGCCAGTTTAGGAATGGGGTGGTGCAGCCCCACCCCACTCACCTCCGCTAACAGCCCTGGAATATAAGAAAAAGGTCCCAGTGCTCCAGGGATTTCATGGGGCTGGGTACACACCCTTCTAACTGCACAAAGGGCTTTTGCAAATAGTGTTTCCAAAACATTAGCGTGAACGGAAGCAACCGGAACAAAACAGCTAATCTAAGAGAAGAGTGAACTTCACTGGCAAAAAAGATGCCCAGGTCCGCTGGGTGGCAGTGGCCTCCTCAGTCAGAGGGTGGCTCATGGCGCCAGAGATGGAGGAAGTGTGGACGCTGTGGGCTCCAGATTCTAAGAGAATCATTTCATGAGTTTTCGCTAGGTGACATGCACATCGCGGGACCCTGGTACAAATGCCTGTCTGGGGTTTGCTTTGGGGGCGGGGCTGCTGTCTGGGGTTTGCTTTGGGGGCAGGGCTGCTTTCCCACTGCCGCTGCCTCCATTTGCACTGCACTGTTTCCTGGCTGTGGGCATCAAGTCACAGGGGTCTCCTGGGTGGCCCCAGGAGCCAAATGATCCAGAACAACAGGGACAGGGCCAGCTCTGGCAGCCTCGGCTCACCTGGATGTAGAGGACAGCGCCACTGCGCCCGAAGCAGTTTTTACTGCCGCCATCTTCTCCATTGAAACCCTGGTACCTTGACAGGACCGATGATAGGGACTTGACTTGCTGATCAACTAAAGTGAGAACAAGAGTCTCAGTCCCTTTAAGACAGCCATGGCCTACTGCTAACATCTGTGTGTCCCTTTTAAGAACCTTAAAAATGCGTATGGAAGCATGGAGTGAGGCTGCGGCAGAAGTCACAAAACCAGCAACATGACTTTTTAAAAGTGAACTTCTTATTTTCCTTCCAAAAGTGCTATCATTTCTGAAAATTTTTAAATTACTAATTTTTTAAAGTGGCTACATCCTAGGATTCTGCTGTGAACGCCTCGCCCTCAGCTCACCGTCGCGCTTGTGCCAAGTGAGTGGGAAAACCACCAGCACCTGGCAGCACCCGCGGCAGCCACCGCACAGCCTCATGCTCTCACGCGGCCAGCACGTCAGGTGCCCAGACAGGAAACACTGTGCTCCTGAAATCAGAAAACAAGATGAAACGTGCTCGAAGCTGCTTCTGTGTGCGTGCTGTTTATGGACATCCGTGTATTGTATAAAAATGACATCCAGATGTCAGGGGTCTTGGTTTTCTTAAGGCAGGGTCTCCCTGTCAGCCAGGATGGAGTGCAGGGAGCTCACTGCAGCCTCCACCTCCTGGGCTCAAGCGATCTCCATGCCCCAACCCCACGTAGCTGGGACTATCAGTGTGTGCCATCACATCTGGTTATTTTTTTTTTTTTTTAAGAGACAGGGTCTCACTATGTTGCCTAGGCTTGTCTCAAACTCCTGGGCTCAAGTGATCCTCAGCCTCCCAAAATGCTGGGATTACAGGTATGAGCCACTGCACCTGCCCATACATCAGGTTTTCAGTTCAAATGCACATGCAGACTCAGGCCCCTCCCCAAGTCCGCCCGTGGACCCCCAGGGCACCTGCCTCTCAGAATGACATGCCCGCCATTGCCTCCGTCCCCTCCATCAGGGCCTCCAAACTCCTTGCGGGGCTCACTGTGGAAGCAGCTTGCCCCGGCGCCTCCGTTTCCTCCACAGACAAGCACTCTCCGACAGTCCACAAAACACCTTTTCTACAGAAAGCACAAGCATCCCACGTCATCTCAGCACTTGAGGGCCTTTCAAGAGACCACACATCCATTTGAGAGGTACTTCTATCTGTGACAGTCTATTAAAATTAGAGGTTAATGACACTAACATGGCTAATCTCTTCTAAAATTCAAAGATAAAGCAGCTCCCAGCAGTCGGCAGCATTTGTAGACAGAGGTAAACCCACAATGCAGACTAAGTATTCTGTATGGACCCACACTTCAAAAGATTCAGCACTTCTTATTCTGGGTGAGACTAACTTAAAAACAAACCAAAACCCAGCATTTCTAACCTAAAACACCTACATCTTGTTTATGAAATATTCATTAAATAATGTGTCTTTCCATTCCAAAAAAAAACCATTCCTGAAATAGTAGAACCTTACTCTCAAAGTTCTAATTTCCCAGGATGCCATAGAGAAACGGAGTTAGAGTCGTGCCTGCACAATTGCCAGGCTTTCGACTCTGAACAGAGTATTTTCTGGGGCCTGAAGCAAACAAGGCTCACTGTAAAAACCTAGTGATGCAAACAGAACCCCTTGCTGTAAAAACCTAGTGATGCAAACAGAGCCCCTTGCTGGAGGGAAAGCTGATCTCGAGGTCATTGAGGTAGGTGCAGTCTGGTTGAAGAGAGAGAACTAACCAGGTTACTGTTCACTACACAGCAGCTCTGACCACAGAAGGGTCAACTCCCTCGGCCCAGGGTGCTGCAGCCTCACCACACCCTGGGGTGGGCGCCTGGTTTCTGCCACGTGCACAGACAGACGCACCACACCCAACAGCCACCCAGGCCTGCTGCTTCTGCACTCCCATCCAATATTCCTCAAATGCATCTTTTTTTTTCTTTTAAAAGAAAATACACAAACATTTTAAGGTTCTTTGGCACCACCATGTGGAAAAGCCATGAACTGCGACTTCCAAATCTCAACCTGTAATGTCCCCCAGACAGGGAGGACCACACCTAGACTCGCCTTCTCTTCTGGGGATGAAGCAGGCCTGTGCGACACCTCAGCTATTTGAGCACACTTCCCGCCACAGCGGCTTTTCCCCTGAAGTGCAGTTTGCCCCAGTGATGCTTATCTGTAGCCCCTCCATTCAGGAGGAATGAAGTAAGTCATAAACTTGCATTTTCTTGAATTTACTAGAGAGAATCATGTTTCAAATAGGAGGTTTTGGTAAACAGAACAAGAAAAACTTGTAAGGCTTAAAGAACAGAAAGTCTATTTCCTCCATTTGTTATTTATTAATTTTTAGTAGAGATGGGTTTTCACCAGGCTGGTCTCGAATTCCTGACCTCAAGTGATCTGCCTGCCTCAGCTTCCCAAAGGGTTGAGATTACAAGCATGAGCCACCGCGCCTGGCCCCCGATGGGTTTTAAATTAAGAAACAGCCACATATATTAAAGGATATATGTAATATACATGTAAGATACCCAGGCTCATGGCAAAATGAGCAGCCTATACAATGGCTCTCCAAGCACTCAGCGCCTCTCCCAGACTGCTGGGATTTGCTGAGTGTGGGACTTAGCACACAGGCCTGCATTTCACCCCATCATTTTCAAGAAGCTCCACGTGCCCCCATCAGTAACATCATCAACTAATATCAACAGAGATGAGATCAAGAGGAGGACCCGAAAGTACCCCCTGTACTTTCTGAGGAGTGGACAGGAAGCTGCTCTACTCCCAGGGCAGACCTGGGGCCTCTAACCTCAGAAGTCTCACCAGCTTTTTCTCAGAGAGTGGCTTCTTTCCCGGGAGCTCCTGATGCTTGACGAGGTCCGCACAGCTGACTGAGAGCAGCCTGGGAGAAACCTGCCGTGGTGGTGGCTGGCTGGGCTTGAGGCCAGCCTGCGTGGACGAAGCCCAGTGCCCCATGCCCTCAAACATGGTCCTCGATCTTGCTGAGAAAAGCCTGGCAGGTGTCATGGCCCCTACAGAAGTCGGATTGGCAAAATGAGATACTTGGTTGAATCCTGGGCATGAAACAGAAACTAAAGAGGAGGGCCCCACGCAGCAGCCTCAGCGCCTGTTTCTGAAACAAACAAGTGAACTGATGAATCCGATGTTCCTGGGCACTCACCCTCTCTGCCCTGACCCAGTCAGCCCATCTGTGACTCAGGACTGGGCTTTCTGTGCAAAGGATGTAAAACATTAAATTGCCCACAACACTAGACACGCCCTCATGAATATCAAGTATCCGCTCAACGAAAATATTAAAAAGGAAACTGAACTGCAAGTCAAAACTTCTTGAAAATAAAGACGCCCATTCATTCAAATATTATTAATCAAATATTAATTATTAAGTGGGTCATCTCAGGCAATTTTAAAGATAAATAGGAACACAAAAAAAATAGTAAACACGGGTCATAGCAGCTAAGCATCCAGGCTCTGGAAACCAAGTCTCAGGGATGGCCACGCACCTGTGTAGCCTCAGCCTCCTCAGCTGCAAGGACACTCGTACTTAGGATGCAGAGCTGTAAGGACAGGGCTGGGGGTGAGGACGGGCTGAGCGATCCACATGGCTAGACAACGGTGGATCGCTGTCGCACTAGGAGAATGAGAAGCAGATGCTTGGCCTCTGCTCCTGGCTCCTGACACAAAGTGCTCAGAACACTGGTAATTTCCTGAGTGATGGGGGTGACCGGAGTGCCTGACACAAAGCTCCTAAATCCCTTAGACTTCCCAAGTGAAAGAATAGTCTTCCGTTCTAAAGAGGCACCTCTTGGTGGGCTCCTGGATGGCCTTGGGACAGGGCTGGTCATCATAAAGATGGAAACACGATGAGAAGCCTGGACCTTTCAGCCCCACCGCCCCCATCCAAAAAGGGGAGAGGGGCTGGAAGCTGAATTCATAAGTGACCATGTCTCCAGGATGAGGCCTCCATGGAAATCCTTCAACTAGGGGCCCTGGAAAGCTTTCGGTTCGGTGATCACATACTGTGCTGTAAGGGCAGACACACAACCTCCAAGGGACAAAGGCTCCTGTGCTCCAGGCCTCGCCTGTGCCTCTCCTCACCCAGCTGCCCGCCTCTGCCTCCTGTGGCATCCTTTATAGTAAACTGGCAATGCCTTCCTCAGTTCTGTGAGCCACTACAGCAAATTATCAAACCTGAAAGGGTTGCAGGAACCCCCAATGTATAGCCAAGATGAACAGAAGTGTGGGTGCCCTGAAATTCGCATCTGAAGAGGGAGGTGGTTTGGTGTGACTGAGCCCCTAACCCCAGGGTCCGTGAAAACCATGGCAGGGTCAGACTGAACTGAATTGTAGGGTGCCTGGTGGGATTTGGAGAGGACTGGTGAATTATAGGATGCCTGGTGGTATTTGAAGAGGACTGCTGAACTGTAGGATGCCTGGTGATATCTGGAGGGGACTGGTGAGTTACAGGGTGCCTGGTGGTATCTGGAGGGGACTGGTGAATTACAGGATGCCTGGTGGTATCTGGAGAGGACTGGTGAATTGTAGGGTGCCTGGTGGTATCTGGAGGCGACTGGTGAACTGTAGGATGCCTGGTGGTGTCTGGAGGGAACTGGAGAATTATAGGGTGCCTGTTGGCATCTGGAGGGCACTCGTGAATTGTAGGATGCCTGGTGGTATCTGGAGGGGACTGGTGAATTGTAGAATGCCTGGTGGTGTCTGGAGGGGACTGGTGAATTATAGGATGCCTGGTGGAGTCCAAAGGGGACTGGTGAATTACAGGGTGCCTGGTGGTATCTGGAGAGGACTGGTGAATTGTAGGATGCCTGGTGGTATCTGGAGGGGACTGGTGAATTGTAGGATGTCTGGTCGTATCTGGAGGGGTCTGGTGAATTGTAGGATGCCTCGTGGTGTCTGGAGGGCACTGGAGAATTGCAGGGTGCCTGGCGGTATCTGGAAGGGAATGGTGAATTGTAGGATGCCTGCTGGTGTCTGGAGGGAACTGGTGAATTATAGAACGCCTGGTGGTGTCTGGAGGGGACTGGTGAATTATAGGGTGCCTGGTGGTATCTGGAGAGGACTGGTGAATTGTAGGATGCCTGGTGGTGTCTGGAGGGGACTGGTGAATTACAGGGTGCCTGGTGGTATTTGGAGAGGACTGGTGAATTGTAGGATGCCTGGTGGTGCCTGGAGGGGACTGGTGAATTGTTGGTGTGGCAAACCCATACTTTTGATGCCTGATGGTGGTGTGGGTGGAAACAGATCCCCACAGCGACAGAGCTGGCAGAGCTGCAGACTCTAAGTGCCAGCTACTGTCACTCTCGAAGCCTCATTTCAGCGGTCACTCGTGCATTCAGCCACTCATGGCAAATAGCTATCCTGCAGGTGCCAAGGGCACAGTGAGGAAGTTGGCGACCCTGCCTTCTAGTAGAGGACAGCCCTTCTCCCTTCACCACGAGCACAAACACCGCCTGCTCCCCGAGCCCCCCATTCTTCAGCGGGTCCCGCAGGACAAACCTTACAAGGCGCTCCCCCCCATCCTGAGTATGAGAGACACATACAGAAAGGATCCCTGGTGCACGGCTGAAAACTTGCCACGAGGCCAGTGTGGGAACACGAGGGGACACTGCCTGCCTCCTTCCTCAAGGCAGCTTGGATGCATCGGTCTCACTCCTCCAAAAAGGGGTCACCTCCTTTCGGGGGGGGTCACTCCCTCTGTGGGGTCCTTCGTTATTCTGCTTTAATTCTGAGGCAATCACAGTTACAATACAAAGAACTTTCTCCTGAATCACTTGAGTCAGTTGCTGACCAGACTTCCCTGCACCCAGAACATTCCATGTGTGTTTCCCTGAGACCGGCTATGACCAGCAGCCCCTCCTCAGGCCCTCCCACATGAGCCCCGGTCCCAGCAGCGCCTCTCCCCGCAGGAAAGTCTGCGTCCCAATCCCCGCTGCCTGCAGCTGCCGCGCCTCCTTTGGCTCTTTGGGCTGGAAGGTTCTTCAGCCTCTCCTGAGGCCTGGACCGCCCCTGACACCTGGGAAGTGGCAGGCCAGCTGCGTGCAGGACGTCCTTGTTTCCAGTTCAGCACTCTGGGGTCATTCTAATTTTCTCTTGTGGTCTTGGTCACTCCATTCTCTGCCTATAAGAAACTGGGCCTCCATGCTCTTTAAGACGTGTGGAGCTGCTCAAGCCGTACTGTGATGGGCCATCAGCGCCACCTCCCTGCTCCACACAGGTGCTCTCATTCCCCAACTGACCAAGCCACCATGTTGGGCCACCTCTCCATGGGACACCTCCCCTTGTTACCCTTCCTGTGAATATATTTTAAAGGACCGCTGATTTTGAGATGAGTTTAGATTTGTGGACACGGTGCAAAGGCATCCTCGCAGACTTTCTCCCCAGTGTCCCCGGCAGCCACACCTGTGTGGCCGCCGCTGGCGCACTGCTGCTGAGTGCCAGGTGGGGCTTGGGGTCAGCGGTTTCCCAAGAGCACCCTTCTTCTCTTCCGGGACGCAGGCCAGGATCCACACTACTTTAAACCAGCAGGTAGTGATATTTTCAAGTGCATGAAGAAAAAAGGTACTAAGGCATTCCATACCTAGGGAAAGTATCTTTCAGAAAGGAAGGTGAAATAAAGATTCTCAGGTGGTAGAAAACCAAGACAGTTTATTGCTAATATCCCTGCTGAATAAGGAATGCCCAAGAAAGTTCCTCAGGTTGAAGGAAAATGATACTGGAGGGAAGCCTGGTTCTTGCAGAGGGAAGGGAGAGCCACGGAAATGGTAAGTACAAGATGCCACCGTTTTCCTCTTAAGAGTTCTTCAGTATGTATGACTGTAGACAAAGGACACTGTTTAGTGGGCTTCCACTGTGCACAGAGGTAATGCACAATGAAAAGGTCAGCAGGGGATTAAAGGGACCCAGATGACAGCAAGGCCTCCTGTTTCTGGGATGGACACAGCATTAACTCTAAGCAGACAGTGAAGGCTAGGTGTACAGACTGGAAGCTCCCGAGCAATGACCAACACACAATCCAAAGACACAGATCCGGAAAGCCCACAGATACGTGAAATGCTGAGAACTATCCCAACAACGGGAAGAAAAAGAACAAAAGAACAGAACATCGAGGGGACACGTGGGAAACAACACTGAAAGTGTGAGTAGTTTCATTAAACGGTATGTTCACAGATTCCAAGCGAAAGGCAGAGGTTGACAAAGTGGGTTAAAAAGAGCCAGCTGGTTCCTGGCTGTAATCTCAGTACTGTGGGAGGCCAAGGTAGAAGGATCTCTTGAAGGTACGAGTTTGAGACCAGCCTGGGCAAAACAGCAAGACCCTCATTTCTACCAAAAGAAAAAAAATTAGCTGGGCCCAGTGGCACCCCTGTGGTTCTAGCTACTTGGGAAGCTAAGGTGGGAGGATCGCTAGAGCCCATGAATTCAAAGCTGCATTCCAGCCTGAGCAACAGAACGAGAGAATGTTTTGAGACAGGGTGTCTCAAAAAAAAAAAAAAACCTCAAACTGGAGTGCAGTGATGTAATCACAGCTCATTACAGCCTTGACCTCCTGTACTAAAGCGATCCTCTTGCCTCAGCCGCCTTAGTAGCTGGGACTGCAGGTAAGTGCCACTGTGCTTGACAAATTTTTTAAAAGTTTTTTTTTGCAGAGATGGGGGTCTCCCGGTTACGTAGGCTGGTTTCAAATTCCTGGGCTCAAGCGATCCTTCTGTCTTGGCCTCCCAAAGTGCTGAGATTACAAGCAGAGCCACCACAACTGCCCTGAGACCCTTTGTCTAAAAATAGAAAAATAAAACAGTAAAAACGTCAAGTCTAAACAATACTATCAAAATATTTATCAAGTTGACATTTATATAACAGTACATCCAACAACTGTAAAATATACACTATCTTCCGGTGCACGTGGAACATTCACCAAAGCAGAGCATACAATGCATCACAAAAGAAGCCTCAAAACACTGAAGTCGTGTACACTCAGCCCTGTACACTCAGCCCCCCGCATCTGTGGAGTCAACAAACCTCAGGGAGAGAGTATCCGAAAAACAAAAAAACAATAACAATACAACAACCTTTTTAATTAAAAAAAAAATAAAGTACAACAACTATATACACAGTATTGATATTATATTGTAGTATAAATAATCTAGAGATTATTTAACATATACAGAAAGGCTGGCTCATACCTGTAATCCCAGCAATTTGGGAGGCGAAGGTGGCAGGATCACTTGAGGCCAGGAATTTGAGAACAGCCTGGGCAAAATAGTGAGACCTTGTCTCTACCAAAAAAATAAAATAAAAATAAAGAAAGAAAATTAGCTGGGCATGGTGGTGCACACCTATAATACCAGCTACTTAGGAGGTTAAGGTGGGAGGATCACTTAAGCCCAGAATTAGAGGCTGCAGTGAGCCATGATCACACCACTGCACTCCAGCCTGGGTGACAGAGCTCCTGACTGGGGGGGAAAAACAGTATATGAAGGATGCGTGTAGCTTACATGCAAATAATACTCCATTTTATATCAGGGACATGAGCAACCTCCAACCAATCCCCCTCAAATATCAACCATAGGGTCTATTCTCTAACTAGAATTAAACTGAAAGTCAATAGCTAGAAAATATCTAGGAAAATCCCAAATATCTGCAAATTAAACAAGCTTCTTCTAAATAATCCATAGGTCAAAGAAGAAATCAAAAGAGAAATTAGAAAATGTTTTGAACTGAATGACAATGAAAATGCAAAACACCAGAATTTAAGAGATGCAGCTGCAGCTGTGTTTAGAAGGAAACTTACAGCTCTAAAGGTTACCTTGGTAAAGAAGAAAGAGCTAAAATCAGTAACCTAAGGTCCAAATCAAGACACCAGAAAGAGCAAAGCAAGCCCGAAGTGAGAAGGAGAAGGATAATACATAGCAGAAATAAACAAAGAAATAGACAGATAATAAAATGTAACGGAAAAAAACAGGCTCGCTGAAAAGCCACGCTCTAACACAGCTCTAGCTAGCCTGGTCAGGAAACCTGGAGAGCACAAATCTCCACTGCCAGGAATGTTAAAAGGATTATTTTCAACACACCTTACAGAAAGAAAAAGGAGGAGAGAACACTAGTAACAACTTCATGCCAGCAAATTCAATCACGACTCAACTTACGTAAAATAAACAAATTTCTTGAAAAATGCAACTTATTAAAGAAACACAAGAATAAACAATCTAAAATAGCCCTGTATGTACTCAAGAAGTTAAATTTGTTATAAAAGAACACTCCCGGCCAGGCGCGGTGGCTCACGACTGTAATCCCAGCAGTTTGGGAGGCCAAACAGGTGGATCATTAGGTCGAGTTCCAGATCGGCCTGGCCAAAATGGTGAAACCCCGTCTCAACTAAAAATACAAAAATTAGCCAGGCGTGGTGGCATATGCCTGTAGTCCTGGCTACTCAGGAGGCTGAGGCTTGAACTCGGGAGGTGGAGGCTCGCTGAGCTAAGATTGTACCACTGCACTACAGCCTGAGCAACAGAGCGAGACTCTATCTAAAAAAAAAAAAAAAAAAAAGTTGTATTTTTAACTTTCAGCTGCAAACAACTGTATATTAAAATTAAGAAAAACACCCATTTATGGTAGTGCCAAACACAAAAAGTACCTGAAAATAATTTCACAATAGACCTTCAAAACTCCACCTCTCTACTTGCAAAGTACTGTTCTAAGTATTTTTCAGGGATTAACTCATTCAGTCCTCATAAAACTCTGTGAAGAAAATACTTCATCCTTATTTTAAAGTTGGGGAAACTGAGGCAGACTCACCCAAGAGCTATCAGATGGGAAGGGTCAGGGGTGGAGCATGAAAGCAGGTTGGGGAAAAAACACAACCCGGGCTCATCAAGACAAGCACAGTCACCGCTCAGCCTGCTGGAACGCTGCACCACCCAGCCCGGATATTCTGGAACCCAGGCTTCCTGATGCTGGTGACACGGAACCTGAAGGAGATGAACTGCAGAGAAGGCTGCAAAGCCAACCAGAGACCTGAACTCGGAATCTCGCCTCATCTGCTTCCTCCTTTTTGCCCTTTCAATTTCTCTTTGGAGACCTGATGTTGCCCTCCCTTGCCAGATGAACAAATTCCACTGTTTCACGCTGCTCTTCCGTGTCTTTATTCCTTCTAACAAGGCTGTCCTTGAGCTGTCCAGTATAGTATCCACAGGCCACATGGGGCCATTAGGCTAAAATTAAGTAAAATGTGAAAACTCAGTCCCTCAGGCCACATCTAAGTGCTCATAGCCACATGTCAACAGTGGGTACCATATGGGACAGTACAGATGAGAACACTGCCCTCAGCACAGACAGGGCTTTTTTTAGACAAGAGTCTCACTCTGTTGCTCAGGCTGGAGTGCAGTGGCAGGATCTCACCTCCCTGCAACCTTTGCCTCCTGGGTTCAAGCAATTCTCGTGCCTCAGCCTCCCAAGAAGCTGGGATTACAGGCACCCACCACCACACTCAGCTAATTTGTGTGTGTGTATGTGTATATACATATTTTGGGGGGGAGGGAGTTTTGCTCGAGTTGCCCAGGCTGGAGTGCACTGGCAGGATCTCAGCTCACTGCAACCTCCGCCTCATGGAGGCGAGGTTGATCCACCCGCCTCAGCCTCCCGAGTACCTGGGATTACACATGCCCACCACCATGCCCAGCTCAATTTTGTATTTTTAATAGAGACAGGGTTTCATCATGTTGGCCAGGCTGGTCTTGAACTCTCGACGTCAGGATGATCCACCTGCCTCGGTCTCCCAGTGAGATTACAGGCGTGAGACACCCGCCCGGCACTGACTCTTCACTTTACACTTTTTATGCCCATCTAAAGCAGAGGAGGCTGAAAGTCAGAGAGGCTAAATCACTTGCCCAAAGTGACAGTGTCCTCTGGCCCCCAGCTGTTGGTGACACCTGAATTTTACGGCAGGAGTCTTCCCACTGAGATTCGAATAAACATAGACTTCCCAGAGGACTAAGGCCAGGATAATTTCAAAGGAATCCATTTTCTGCTCCTCAACTTTTGCTATGTTCTCTCTGCTAAAACAGAACTGCCTGAGGAGGAACTTGTGTTTAAAACAACTGACTTCTACTTTCCCGTCCCCCTTTCACAGTGGGTCCTCCCCTTTACAAAAGGTATTCTCCAGCGACACTGCCCAACAAGCCCCTCCGATTCCCATCCACAGGTCTGTGTGAACACCATTCCTCGGTATCTAGAGCTACGAGAACGTAAAACGGGAACAGAACGGACAACCCCGTCTCACTGGGCAAAAGCCACCCGCAGACAGTGAACTCTCTGGAAACGCGCCTCCCGGAGGCGCGTTTACAATACACAACTTTTTATCACCCAAATGCACACATATTTATGTTGTCCCGTGCGAGTGTACACGACCAATCATCACTTTAACATTCCAGAGGAAAATGTTTAGTACTTACAGCCCTGGATCAAGGCAAATTCCTAAACAACTTGCCTCGGAATTCACACGCGGCACCCATCCCTGTGACAGCAGCACCCGGGTGGCCGACAGCACCTCCGACCCCAAAACGCGGTTCTGCGGGAGAGCGGAGCGGAGAAGGACCGGGGAGCACGGCGCCGCTCCCCACCGCCCGGGTTCGCAGACCGGCAGCGCTCCAGTCCTCTCGGCTCCTAGGCCGGGCCTCTCCCGCTCCCAGCGCCCCGGTGCCCCGCGGTCCAAGCCGAGGCCCCTCCTCACGCCCAAGCCACGTCCGCCCCCGGGGCCCCGCGTCCACCGCGCCCTCACCTGCTCGGGAGAGCGCGTCACTTCCGGGGCATCGCAGGCGGCCGACCCCTTCCGGTGCCTCTAGGCCCCGGCTGCCCCGCGCTTCCCAAGTGCGCAGCTGCGGAAGAGGAGCCGGCGGACCCCGGAGAGGACTTTGTCCCCGTGAGCGGGCGCCAAGAGGAATAGCGGGAGGGCAGCAGAGCGCTCAGCTGTAGCCGCGCTTCTCGCCGGCGCCCTCGCTGCCGGAGCCCTGGGACAGCCGCCCCTCCCAGTACCCAGGGCCACCCAGCTCCTCCGACCAGTCTGGCGCTGCTGTCGTCCGTGAAACCTCCCGGGCCCGATGAGGACACCGCTTTTGCACGAGGAAGCTATGGGGCAACACAGAGCAGGCAGTGGGGACCGCAGGGCAGTCCCGGGGCGCCGTCCTCACCGCCCTTTCCCTGGCTCCGCCTTCCGGCTGCGGGGAATCCGGCGCGGACCCACGGGGACTCTGCCCAGGAACCGAGCTGACAATCTGCCGGGTCCTGGTAATGTTTGCAGAGTAAGTCACACCAAAATCCCATTACCTTCATGAAAACTAACTTTATAGGATAATTTTTGAAGAACCAGTTTATTAAGAGATTACACCAAAACCATAATTTATATGTCAAACTCCGACTGAAAAAAAATTAACCGATATCCAGGATGGTTTTCAAATGTACTGTACTCACAAACCAGACAAATTTGACTTGTTCAATAAATAGAAATGAAGTGGCTAAACATTTTTTAATGGAAATGGAAAACAGTCTTCCACTCTGTAGTGTTGAAGGGGTGCCCCCTATATGTAGAAAAACCCTGACAAAATCAGAGCTTCAGGTAAACTCCAACCAGATGAGCATATTCACGTTTCTTTTCAGATCTTAGGAGATCTTGTCCACGTTAATCCCATTCATAAAGACTCTGGGCCTGAGTTCTGATGTACTGTTTTAATATGCTATATACTGTTGATTCAACAACAAACCCTAATGGGTGATGAGCTTTTGCATACCAATATGAAATTTGTCAGCACTTCTGAAAATTGTGGCCATTATTTTTCAAATTCACAATTTGCTGGAAGTCAGGGAACGACAGGAAGAAGAATGAGCATCAATTTTCACGTCGTCCTTTGCTTCTTCATTGGCCTTCCATAGAAGTAGTCAGAAAAAAACAGCACCATCAACCACACTTCACGAATAATTCATGTTAGCCTAAGCTTTTCTCAACATTCATAGGACAGAAGATATAATAAGTTAATGAAAAGGAATTGCTGGCATCACTTTCCCCCACAATATTACATAAAAATGGACAACACATTAAATAAACATTCTGTTATTAATCATTAAATATATTAACACCAAAAATCATGTATAAATTAGGAAATAAATGTACAAACTATTTTGCAAAGTGCTTTTTAAAATATATACACAACATTCAAGATATTCTTAATGTAAGACATTTCAGATTGAAATTTTGGGATAAGTGTCCTTTTCTTTCAGAAAGTATTAATACAGCACTTAAAAACACAAACACACACACACACACACACACACATACACACACACACACAAAAGGCATATTCCCAGATTGGCAAGGAATAAAAATAAACTATTTTCACAGTTATCTAAAATGTTTAACATTTTCAATGGGAAATTTTAGTCCCTGATTGAGTTTGCAAATTAGTTTTATGAAAATTGACATGAAAAGAACAAAATCAAGGGAGAAGACTCCCTAACTGAAATTGCTCATACATACTTTTGTCAATTAGCAATTAAGAACTCTCTTCAGTAATATGAACATACACATTTACTTTTAAGCCCTTACCAGTGTTAAGGGTTTAAAAAACCCTTATGCCTACAAAATAAACACTGCCATCCCCAATTCTGTGTGACACCTGTCTCATGGACGAGGGAAGAACGTCCTATAACAGGACTCAACACAGCCAAGTCCTTTAATCTGTGCCTTAGTTCTTCATCTCTAAAAAATTTCCTCACAGGGGCTGTCGGGATTAATTCAAGCAAAACACGTATGCACCTTGTAAATTCTAAAGCACTTAACTCTGGATGAAGAACTACTTTTAACTTTTAAAACAAAACATCAATTAAAGAGAAACATCATTATTAGTAGACCTCATATATCAAGCACTGGGTATCTTTTGTATTTTCTTGGTAGTTCTTGGAAATTCACCAGCATTTATCCAAATATTTTTTTAAAAGGATTCATAGCAAATATGAGTATTATTCCAAGTAAAGGCTGATCAAATGTCCATGCGGGTTGTTAATGGCAGCATACGATTTTTTTTCCTTTGACCATACTTTTCCAAGTGTGCTGTCTTTAATGTTTACACAGAATTGAAATAGGATTTAATATCCTAGAAATGTAAAAATTACTTAAGTTTCACTATATAAAACCTTTATTTTTCATTAGAAAGAACACAGTAAAGTTACTGGATATGACTTTCAGACATCCCTAAAAGAAAAGAAATGCTTGCTTGGAGATCTGAGCAAGTAGGTCCTGGAAGAAATAATGTAAAATAAACAACTTGCCAACTGTTTGGAAAATCTGGTGTCAATATTTTAAATTACCTATCAATTTAGCATTGGGCATATTAAATATTCCAATCCCAGAAATGACCATCAGCTAAACAAGGGTCAAAGCCAGAGTAATCTCTGACGGCCCACTTCCCAGAGAGCTGCCCCTCTTTCCTTCAGCAACACCACTCATCCTGTGTCAGGCGATCCGCCCAGGACCTTAGGGATTCATGTTTATTTGGAATACAGTCATTGATTCCTGTTTACTTTTTAATACAAAAACATGTACCTTTTTGGATAAACGCAACTGGTGAGAGCCAGGCCACGAGCAAGCTCTGGAAGTAGCCATCTGTGGCCTCTCCTGAGGGAGATGTTTCTTCTTTTCATTATGTGACAGAAACTGACCCAACACACAGAAGACGCCCTCCCACCACCCACTGAGGCACAGGAAGAGGCTGCTCTCCAGGGGCTGCATGTGTGTCTAGCTGTGGTGTAGCCAGTTAAAGAAAAGTTGACAGCCCACGTTATAGCAACTGTATGAGGAGAGAAATGAGACCTAAGGTCTGTTGATCGGAACAGGTAGACTATGGTGTCTTTGAGATCCGTCCCATCCCTGGGCACAGAAATGCTCTGATGACAAAATGACCCCCAAAGCAGCTAGAAACATTGAGAAGGGGGCGGGGGGACAAAAAAAGGATACCTCTCCATGTACCAACATACAATACTATACACAGCACCAAAAGTATCACACCACCAAGCGCGGTCTCGTGCCAGCGGTGCGCGCTCGGCGTCATACCCAGCATGAAATGAGCACGTTTCACATGCAGACGTGGCACTGGGTGAAAGGGTAACCAACATGTCACAATTCACCAGAGCTGCCGCCAGCCCATCCGGCCCCTGGATGAACACGCTACCACAAGGGCTCCAGCCATGTGTCCCTCACTGCTGGTAATTTCCATACTGGCCCTAAAAGAGATCAAGACACAGATTACACCCCTATAGTCATGAGTAAAAGGAAGACAGACGTTCCCCCCAGCCGGGACGGGGATAGGAGGGACAACGGCAGGCAAACAACCTCTGCCCACATCTTTGGGGGACAGTGAACAGCTTTCCAGAAGCCACCGCCCAAGCCTGTGGCTAACAACGTAGTGAGGGCCAAGGGTTTGTTCATTCAGTCACACATGGGGATTGCTGCGGCTGGGTCTGTGCCAGGTGCCTGGCATCAGACCCTTATGCTGGACCTGCTATGCAGACAGGCTCTCCTCCAAGTGGGCCCCCTTGGGAGCCCCCAGAAAATGGGAGCAGGGGTAACAGGCTTCGATCTATTTAAAAAAAATTGAAGACCCAGCCTGGGCAACATGGCATGGCTCCATCTCCTCTACAAAAATCCAAAAATTAGCCAGGTGTGGTGGCATATGCCAATACTCCCAGCTACCTGGACGGTGAGATGGGAGGATCGCTTGAGCCCAGAGGTCAAGCTGCAGTAAGCCATGACTGCCCCACTGCACTCTACTTTGGGTGAGACCCTGTTTCAAAAAAAAAAAAAAAATCTGAAGGCTGGGTGCAGTGGCTCATGCCTGTGATCCCAGCAATGTGGGAGGCCAAGGTAGAAAAATTGCTTGAACCCAGGAGTTTGAGACCAGCCTGGGCAACACAGCAAGACCCCATCTCTATAAAAAAATAGAAAAAATTAGCCTCGGCTGGGTGCAGTGGCTGACATCTGTAATCCCAACACTTTGGGAGGCTGAGACGGCTGGATCATTTGAGATCAGGAGTTCAAGACCAGCCTGGCCAACATGGTGAAACCCCATCTGTACTAAAAACACAAACAACAACAAAAAAATAGCTGGGCAGTAGTGGCGCATGTCTGTAATCCCAGCTACTCAGGAGGCTGAGGCAAGAGAATTGCTAGAGCCTGGGAGGTGGAGGTTGCAGTTAGCTGAGATCATGCCACTGTATTCCAGTCTGGGTGACAGAATGAGACCCTGCCTCAAAAAAGAAAAAAACGGCCAGACGCAGTGGCTCACTCCTGTAATCCCAGCACTTTGGGAGGCTGAGGAGGGTGGATCATGAGGTCAGGAGTTCAAGACCAACCTGACCAACATGGTGAAATTAGCTCTCTACTAAAAATACAAAAATTAGCCAGGTGTGGTGGCATGCGCCTGTAATCTCAGCTACTCAGATGGCTGGGGCAGGACCATCGCTTGAACCCAGGAGGCAGAGGTTGCAGTGAGCCGAGATCACACCACTGCACTCCAGCCTGGGCGACAGAATGAGATTTTGTCTCAAAAAAAGGGAAAAGAAAAAAGAAAGAATGAGCCACATGTTATGGTGCATGTCCAGGAGGTTGAGGCTGCAGTGAGCCGTGTTCATGCCAGTGCACTCCAGCTTGGGCAACAGAGTGATATTCTGTCTTAAAACAATAACAACAACAAAAAAAGGCTGGGCACAGTGGCTCACACCAGCAATCCAAGCTGGGCATAGTGGCTCACACCTATAATCCCAGCACTATAGGAGTCCTAAGTGGGCGGATCACCTGAGGTCAGGAGTTCGAGACCAGCCTGGTCAACATGGCAAAACCCTATCTCTACTAAAAATAAAAAATTAGCCGGTAGTGGTGGCACACGCTTGTAAACCCAACTACTTGGGAGGCTGAGACAGGAGAATCAGTAGAACCTGGGAGGCGGAGGCTACAGTGAGCCGAGATCATGCTGCTGCACTCCAGCCCGGGCAACAGCAAGACCCCGTCTCAAAACATGAAGAGAGAACTAGAGAGCCCACGGCCCGCAAGGCCACAAGACCGAGAATTCCTTAGGAGCCAAATGGAGCACGAGACCTGTGATGAAAGCCAATCAGAGGACTGCCATGGAGGAAGGCACGAATCGACGTCTGCAGGCCTGATTCTCCATGTGCCCCCAGCTAGGTAACCATCAGATTTCCTGAGTGCCCACAGTGAGGGAGGGGAGGGAAGAAAGTCGCCCTGGCCTGACCGAGAATCCAGACATCACATTCCTGACGGAACACAGGCTGCCACATTCTCATTCAGAGCTGCTCTGAGGACCCTAGCCAGCAGGAGTCTGTTCCGATGTCTTTCTGCCCCTGCACCACTGGGTAAGACAGAAAGTCTCGAATCCAGAGCTGCTCAGGCGAGGAGCTGAGCAGCCTGAGCCCTGGGAACCCGCAGGCAACCCCAAAGCCTCAGCACACTTTTCAGCATGCCCCGGGGACATCCGGCAATGTCTGGAGACACCCTGTCAGACTGGGCGATGTGTGTGCTACTGGCATTGTGGGTGGAGGCCAAAGGTGCAGAGTCACCAACATAGAGTCACCACTTCCTGCTAAGGACTCTCTCAGAGGAGGCTCCAAAAATTGTCCAAGATCATTCTCCTTTGTATGCCCCTTGCTCCAGCCACCAAGCGTCCTTTGTGCTGCCTTCACTGGGACAAACCACCTGTTGCCTCAGGACCTTGGCACGCCCCTTCCTGTGCCTGGCTCATTCTCCTGTGGGAGACCCTTGCCCCCGCAGTGCTCCCACCACACAGACCCTGTCCTCCTCTAGTGGCCCCGTCCCACTCAGAGTGACAGTGATGTCTCCTTTATGGGGGCCCCCACGCCCACCTATCCCTGTCGCCTCCTGCCACGCTGGCCTCCTTACTGTCCTGGGAGCTCCCACTATTCTCGCTTCCAAGGTGCTCTTTCCTTAGCTCTTTCAAAGCCCTGATCACTGTCCCTGGACAGAAAGGGCTCCCCCTTCCCTGGGCTGAGCCTGCGGCTGCCCACCACTCCCCACTGTGTCTTCCTTCTGGAACTGTCCACACTGGTCAAATGTGGCCGCCTGCACTGGAAGGCAGGCTCCACTAGGGGCTCCCCGATCCGTGCTCAGCAAGGTCTGGCCCCATCGGACAAGTGACAGTCTCCAGAACAAGACATAAGTTCTAAAAGCACAGGGTTCATATCATGGCCACATGCCAGGCACCCAGCAGAGACCTGCCGTGTGCCCAGTACACAACAAATGTGGGCAGAGTGAAGGAATGAATGGGAGAACCAGGCATGCAGATTAACAGTAAGTTTAGGGCATGAAAAGCTGCTGCATGACTGAGGTGAGCATGTACACAGAAATAATTCTGAAAAACCTTACAGGCTCAGAGACTTAACATTCTGGAAGGAACCCTGGAAGCCAGTTAGTTCTAGCTCATTATTCCTCATGGCCATAAGAGAAATCTTCATTAAGTCTCAATAGGCAAGGCGGACAGGCACATCTGTTAACATCCAAAAAGCTTGCCTGCTCATAGCCGTAGGGCCGCTGCTGCTGGGCAGAGGGTGCCGTCTGCGGTGCTCTGTAGCTTCCGTACTGCTGGCCTTGGCCTTGCTGGTAGCCGGGGTACTGCGAGGGGGCTCCCTGGGCAGGCCCTGAGAAAACAGCAGAAACCGTGAGGCAGGCCAAAATGGGTGCATCCGTCTTTCTGCACCGGCAGGAGCTTCACGTTAACTCCGTATGGCGAGAGCAGCACACAACCAACTCACCAGCCCCTCCAGTCCTGTGAGGTTGCAGGACTGTGCCCCAAGCCTGCCACCAGCATGGGGGCACTGACGGCCTCTCTGCATCACCCCTGAGCTGCTGCTACCCAAAGATGGAGGAGCAGGAGAGCCCTCCAGAACCCGCTGGTGCCAGTCACACTGGCTGCTCTAAGTTAACTATCACAGGAGCTGCGGAAAACTTACAGAGGCATCGTCTCTAGGAAGCCTAAGTCAAAGGCTTTGGAGAGGACTGATGAAGGCCAAGTAATTTTTTTTTTGAGACAGGGTCTCACTCTGTCACCCAGGATGGAGTGCAGTGGCATGATCTTGGCTCATGGCAACCTCCACCTTCTGGGCTCAAGTGATTCTCCTGCTTCAGCCTCCCAAGTAGCTGGAACCACAGAAGTACACCACCATGCCGGCTCGTTTTTGTATTTTTTTGTAGAGATGGTTTCACTATGTCACCCAGGCTGGTCTCAAACTCCTGGCCTCAATCAGTCCTTCTGCTTCAGCCTCCCAAAGTGCTGTGATTATAGACATGAGCCACCACAATGAGCCTCAAGTTCTTTTTATTTTGAGACAGAGTCTCGCTCTGTCACCCAGGCTGGAGTGCAGTGGCACGACCTTGGCTCACTGCAACCTCCATCTTCCAGGTTCAAGCAATTCTCCTGTCTCAGCCTCCCTAGTAGCTGGGATTACAGGCACACACCACCATGCCTGGCTAATTTATTTTTAATTAATTAAAAATAAAAAAAAAGATGGGGTTTCGCCATATTGGTCAGGCTGGTCTTGAACCCCTGACCTCAGGTGATCTGCCCGCCTCTGCCTCCCAAAGTGCTGGAATTATAGGGGTGAGCCGCTGTTCCCAGCCTCCTCAAGTGATATTTAAACTACTATTTAATTAGCGATGGCCCTAAAGGGTGAGCAACCTTTAACAGGGCCTCTCCTTCCTCACCACAGCAGAATCATGCATGAGTCTCACAAGAAGTCACGTGGGTGAGGCTCATCCTGAGAACTGAGATTTTGCACAGACTGATCTGGGGCAGCCCCAGACCTTATTTTTCAGAAGCTTCCTGGGTGATTCTAAGCTGCAGTGAATGCCGAGACCCACAGGCTTTGACCTGCTCTGTCAAAGAGGTTGAAGCTGGGCATGGAGCGTGCAGGTGGCGGATGGACAGGACACTGGCTCCCTCACAGGCTGCTTGGGCAATGAATTTATGTTGATGTTTAAGTTACAATGTTTCAGGCCGACATGCATGGATGTTCCCAACTTCTCTGGAAACCTAAAGCTATTCAAAATAAGAAGCTGATTACACATCTGCCTATGTACCAGGGTTGCTGCACACGTGTCTGTGTGCGCTGGGGGGCCCTGAGGAACATGCCCCGCTTACCGTAGCCCTGCTGCTGCCCGGGGTAGCTCTGCTGGCTGGGGTACTGCTGCTGGGAGTAGGCCTGCTGCTGCGCGGCGCCCTGCTGGTACCCGGCCTGCTGCTGGCTGTACTGAGAGTTCCCTGGAGGGAGAAGGAGACACGTAGCTGACTTCCTGCGCAGGCTATAGGAGCCGTCCAGGCTAAGGCAGCGCATTCTTTGAGCAGCTCACGACACGTTAACTCTGGAATTCCAAAACCAAATCTGTGGCTTTGGCATGTACACTTTCTCACAACGATTCAAATACTAAACTATACCTTTTTCTTATCTTACGGAAATACAAATGGAAAGCTAAGAAATGAAACTGTTAACGCGACAACTAAGACAGAGACGAACGCCAGCATTGTGGGCGGAACAGTGCTCCCCAGAGAGATGCTGAAGTCCTGGGAGGACTCAGTCAAAGGATTCAGAAAGAACTGATAAAGCCAAGTTATTATTAATAACTCACTCTGTCACCAGGTGGAGTGCAGTGGCGCAATCTCGGCTCCCTGCAGCCTCTGCCTCCACCTCCAGGGCTCAAGTGAGCCAAGGGCCTGCGAATGGGACCTTATCTGGGCATAGAGTCTGTGCAGACATAATTTTATTTTTTTCAGTGACAGGCCCTCACTCTCTCACCCAGGCTTGAGTGCAGTGGTGCCATCAAAGCTCACTGCAGCTTCAATCTCCCTGGCTCAAGTGATCCTCTGACTTGAGCCTCCTGAGTAGCTAGGACTATAGGTATGTACCAGCATGCCCAGATAATTTTTAAATCTTTTGTAGAGACAGGGTCTCCTTATGTTTCCCAGGCTAACCTCAAGCAAGCCTGCTGCACCGGCCTTCCAAACCGTTGGGATTACAGGCGTATGCCACCATGCTCCATGCAAAGAGTCAATTTTCCTATTTTACTTGTCTGGTTGGAAATAACTTTCCTTTTTCAGAAGCTGTAAAATTTAAGTATTTTAAAACTGGAATCTAGTAATGTATTTTTTAAAATAACAGCTTTATTGAGATGATGCACATTGGAATAGCTTAAAAACCCATCAGGGTAACTCAACCTGTGGTTAGATGGGATGACAAAACACCTGCTTTTATTCCAGGTTGAGCTCCTCCCTAAGGTGAGAACTTTGGAGAAACCTGCTTAAGCCTTCCCAGTTACTCTTCATCCAGGAAATCCCTTGAGTCCTGAACTTCCATACCTCCCTCAAAATCCAGGGCCGGTTCCAGTGACAGCTGGCAAACGAGCTGTCATCATCACGTGGGAGGACTTAAGGTCGCTGTTCTCAATCCTGCCCCCAGGAAAGCCATCTGATATGGGGGGTTTCTCAGAGGTGTCAGCCTGCATATCCTCATGTTTTATAGCCCACTTTATTCTTTATATAATTAAGGAGCCAGTTTGCAGGAAATGGGCCAGCTCTGCCCTGGCACATAGCCGGCACACAACAACTGTGCAAGTGCCAGCCTAGAACACACAGCCCCAGTCCACAGGGACCAGGCCTGGCTCTCACACCCCCGTGGGTGCTCAGCCGATCTACTGTGAACGGGCAGCAGCTGCCCTATCCCCTGAGAAAGGGGGCTGCTGAGATAACTCTGCAGGGAAAGGGGGCACAAAGGCTGTGGAAAAGACCTTTGCTGTTTTCAGATATGTTTCATGAAACCAGCAGAGCCGGGGGAGCCCAGGCTGTGCTCTTGACAGGAAAGCAATGGGGTGGGTAGATATGGGGCCTTTCCTCTGCAACCAGCAAATACTCCATGGTTCTTCCTTTTCTTTCTCTAAATACCTCTGGCATTCTGCGGGGCGTCTGTGAGAAGGTGCTGGGCAGCCTGGTGCATCTGTGTAACAACAGGCCAGAACGTGCCTGGTTACGTTGCCTCCTCTGCTTGCTCAGAAGGAGCACGATGCGGTCACAATTGGCCACAAGGAATAAGTGAATGGGCAGCTCAGAGCCGTCACATAAATACAGTGATCCACACAAGGATGCAGCCAAGGTAGCCCCGGCCTCCCCACCCCGTCGTCCACTCCAGGACACGCTGGTCACCACCTGGCGACAGCCTGTGAAACACACACACGCCGGGTGCTCTTGGGACTCCAGGAGGTATGGACAGCCATAAGGTAGGGTCCTTTCAGTTTCTGTGACAGCCAATGATGTTCCTTTTTTTCCAGATGGAATCTCGCCTCTGTCGCCCCAGGCTGCAGTGCACTTGGGTGATCTCAGCTCACTGCAACCTCTGCCTCCCAGGTTCAACTGATTCTCTTACCTTAGCCTTGCAAGAAGCTGGGATTACAGACCCATGCCACCACGCCTGGCTAATTTTTCTATTTCTGAGTAGAGATGGAGTTTCACCATGTTGGCCAGGCTGGTCTCAAACTCCTGACCTCAAGTGATCCACCTGCCTCAGCCTCCCAAAGTGCTGGGATTATAGGGATGAGCCACTGTTCTCGGCCCCAGTAATGGTTCGCTCCTGAAGCTGCCAGCACATCCACATGATTCAAAGGTAAATGCAGACAGACCCACACCTTCAAGAGGTCCTGGAAAGGAGGCCATGTCCACCCCTGCTCTAGCCTAACCCCGTCTTCCACTGTAAGCGTTTCTGTTAGTTGTTTTGGTGTTTGTCCAGTTGGTCGATAGCGTGAGCGTGCGTGTGCGCAAGTGTACAGTCTCATCTTCCTTGCATTTTCACAGAGAGGGCGCATCCCATCCAGCTCCACACCCGGCTCTTGCAGCTCATGGGGCGGTCTCTCCTAAGGGCCATGGTGCCCAGCAGCCAGGTCACGAGGGGCCAGGCTCTGTGCAGTCTCTGAGCCACTGCAAACCTCACTTCCATGCAAGTGCAGGGCTTGTACTCCACCTGGGCCTCTCCCCCACCACGCACATCCCAATGCTCCTGCCCAGCATGCGTGGCCCCATGGCCCCTGGTGTCCCCTCCCAGCTTGGTCGGCCCCACTCTGGTCCCCTCCTATTACTGGTGCCCTGTGCATGAGCACCCTCCTGTTTTACTGGATTCTGCAGGCTCCTAATAGATGCTGTCACCAGGAACAATTCCAGCCCCAGCCTGTCTGACGAGGGATGACTCAAAGTTGGCACATTCTCTCCCTCTTTTTTTTAAGACAGGGTCTCCCTCTATTATCAAGGCTGGAGCACAGTGGTGCAACCACAGTTAACTGCAGCCTTGAGCCCCTGGGCTCAAGCTATGCTCCCGCCTCAGCCTCCCAAGTAGCTGGGACAACTGGCGCTTGCCACCATATCTGGCTAATTTTTCTGATTTTTAGTAGAGATGGGGTCTCACTATGTTGTCTAGGCTGGTCTCAACTTCCCAGGCTCACACAATCCTCTGCCCTGGCCCTCACAATGCTGGGATCACAGGTGGGAGCCACCGCGCCCAGCGTGATTCTGGGATCAGAGGTGGGAGCCATCGTGCCTGGCCTGATGCCGGGATCACAGGTGGGAGCCACCGCGCCCGGCCTGGAAAGTTCTTTATGGTGCCTTTGACCTATTCCTCCTAACGTCCCCCAGCCTCTCCACTGTACCATGGGCCACAACTGTGCTTGAAGGTGGCTATGATGCGTCCCCCAGTCTCTTCAGAACAAAGCAGCCCCAGGCCTCTCACCCTGCAAGACTGCATAGTACCACCTGCTGTAGGGTAAAGTGTCACCTATGTATGTGTACTCCTCATGTCAGAGTCTAATTAACAAGCAGATGGAATAAAAGTCTTCTAAATCAAGGAGGAAACCATGCCACTGTCTTACTGGTCTTAAGAGATTACTAAGCTTTTTAATAAATTTCTTATCAGTGACGGAAGGCAAGAGTATGTAACCCACAACAAACTACAGAAGGACATATCAGTAGGGCACCATGGTGGCACCTGGAGCCCCTGCCCTGTGGGAGGCTGAAGTGGCACTTGAGCGCAGGAGTTCAAGACCAGCCTGGGCAACACGGCGAGACCTTATCTATACAAAAATTAAAAAATAAAAAAAATAGCCCGACAGGCGCGGCGGCTTACGCCTGTAATCCCAGCACTTTGGGAGGCTGAGGCAGGCAAATCATGAGGTCAAGGGTTCAAGACCAGCCTGGCCAATATGGTGAAACCCCATCTCTACTAAAAAATAAAAAAATTAGCCAGGGGTGGTAGAACACACCTGTAGTCCCAGCTACTCAGGAGGCTGAGGCAGGAGAATTTCTCGAACCCAGGAGGCAGAGATTGTAGTGAGACGAGATTGCACCACTGCACTCCAGGCTGGGCAACAGAGTGAGACTCTGTCTCAAAAAAAAAAAAAAAAAAAAAAAGCTAGGCATGGTGTGCATGCCTGTAGTCCCAGCAACTCTAGAGGCTGAGGCAGGAGGATCACTGAGCCTGGGATTTCAAGGCTGCAGTGCACCACGATCACACCACCACACTCCAGCCTATGTAACAGAGCAAGGTCCTCTTTGAAAAGAAGGTAGCTATGTCAAACACTGAAAGGCTAAGTAGCACATCCTGTTTGCTTTTGGAATAAAGTATGGCAGCCTTGTGCAGATGCACGTGGACACCTCACCACGGAAAAAGCTGAAACTGCTCCAGCTGGCAGGCCCAAGATGGCAGAGACCCTGCAGGCTCCCAGGCTGATCAAGGCACCACTGCAGCCAATATGCCAAAAGACAGCCTCTGGGCACTGGCCACAGGGTGGCTGCTTTTTTTTGAGACAGGGTCTACCTCTGTCACCCAGGCTGGAGTACAGTGGCGCAATCTCAACTCGCTGTAACCTCTGCCTCTGGGCTTAAGCAATTCTCCCACCTCAGCCTCCTGAGTAGCTAGGATTACAGGTGCCTGCCACCACACCTGGCTAACTTTTGGGTTTTTTTTGTAGAGACAGGGTTTTGCCATGTTGCTCATGCTGGCCTCAAACTCCTGAGTTCAAGCAATCTTCCTGCCTTGGCCTTCCAATGTGCTGGGATTACAGGCATAAGCCTCCATGCCTGGCCATTTCTTTCTTTCTTTTTATTTTATTATTTTTTGAGACAAGAGTTTCACTCTTGTTGCCCAGGCTGGAGTATAATGGCATGGTCTCGGCTCACTGCAACCTACACCTCACTGCAACCTCCGCCTCCCGGGTTCAAGCGATTCTTGTGCCTCAGCCTCCCAAGTAGCTGGAGACTACAGGCACACGCCACCACGTGCAGTTAATTTTTGTACTTTTAGCAGAGATGGAGTTTCACTGTGTCGGCCAGGGTGGCTTTGAACTCCTGACCTCAGGTGATCTGCCTGCCTCGGCTTCTGAAAGTGCTGGGATTACAGGTGTGAGCCACTGCACCTGGCTTTTTTTTTTTTTTTTTTTCTGAGACAGGGTCCTACTCTATCACAAGGCTGAAATGCAGTGGCATGATCTCAGCTCACTGCAACCTCTGCCTCACTGACTCAAGTGATTCTCCTGTCTCAGCCTCCTAACTGGGACTACAGGCGTGCACCACGGCCAGCTAATTTTTGTATTTTTTGGTAGAGATGGGGTTTCACCATTTGGTCAGGCTGGTCTCAAATTCCTGGCCTCAAGTGATATGCTTGTCTTGGACTCCCAAAGTCCTGGGATTACAGGCGTGACCCACTGCGCCCAGCCTCTTTCTTATTTATTCATGCACTTTTTGTTCCCCCATGTGTTTGAAAGTAGAACTGATGTTTAAACGTCGCAGGCATTTGTGGCACATACCGTGACGTTCCTATACAGGCCTACACTTGGCATGGTTTCTTCACCAGCAGACCGAGACATGTAAGCTCTGAAGCAAAACTTTTACACATTCAATTCTTTAAGAAGTAACCCGGGATGCCTGTAATCCCAGCACTTTGGGAGGATGAGGCAGGCGGATTATGAGGTCAGGAGTTCGAGACCAGCTTGGCCAACATGGTAAAACCCTGTCTCTACTAAAAATACAAAAATTAGCCAGGTGTGGTGGCAGGTGCCTATAGTCCCAGGTACTCAGGAGGCTGAGGCAGGAGAATTGTTTGAACCCAGAAGGCAGAGGTTGCAGTGAGCTGAGACTGTGCCATTGCACTCCAGCCTGGGAAATAGAGCAAGACTCCGTCTCAAAAAAAAAAAAAAAAAAAACGTAATCCAAAGAAGGAAATCTGCAGCTGTTTAGAGCCTGCCTGTTTTGTTGAAGCCTCACCTACTCTGGACACTGTTACCTCTTGGTAAATCGGGGCCCAGTGGTGAGAAGACCTTGGCCTCCACTGCCTGCCGGTCAGTATGAGTAGACATGAAGCCCTTTCCCCAGGGACTGCAAGCCTGCCTTACCTCCCGGACAAGGTTGTGCAATCCTGCAAGGTGATCATCAACTCTTCTCTGGGGGCTACCTTTATCCTGGGGCGGGCTGGAAGTGGCTATGTACGTACCTCTTCCCAACTCCGCATTCTGGGATGTTCTACTGGGGTTTCAGAGTAGCCAGGGCAGGAGCACAGACAGCACAGAAAGGGGCAAGTCTACCCGATGCACAGCCCCTAGCTACAGATGTGCGTTTCCTGGCCTGCAGGCATTTGAAGAACTGCAAGGCTACACTCAGCGCAGCCACTGCTGGCCTCTGAGGAGGAAGCCCCAAGTGTGGCTTGCAGGCCCATTGCTGTCTGGCCAGACCCAGTAAGTCTGTGTCCCCAGCCCCAGCATGGCTGGCTGACCCCTTTCCCCTTTCTCACGAACCCACACGTAAGGCAAGCGGGGCTCCTGACACAGCCTGAATTTCCAGCTCCCAGAGGAAGGCACTGTCTCCCCACACAGTGCTGTGCTGTGATTTCAGGGAGACACGCTGAAGACAGGCACACGCGCTCCTAAGGGTGCAGGTCTTAACTCTGCTGCACGTGGCACTTACACCTGGGCCCAGCACGCGGCCGTGCTCCTTACCCCCCTCATAGTAGTGCTGCGTGGACTCCTCAAACGACCGGTCGTAGCTCTGCTCTGTGTATGATGACTGCTGGTAGGCGTAATCACCATGGCCTGTGTGAAACGGAGACAGCAACAGTCAGTGGAGGCTGCAGATCCCGGAGGAGGCAACTGAGACCCAGGCTGGGAAGATGCAGTCAGGCCAGGGGGATAACTAGAGCCAGCAGGACCCATGTCCCCATAGATTGACCACGCCCCAACCTCCTGCGCCTCGGCCTCCTTGCTGAAAGGCCTCCAGACAGCAAGGCCTCCTTCTTGGGGCGACTGTGAAGCTACCTGAGGATTTGTGCAGAGGATCAGTGCTCCCAGTGGCCACCCATGGCCACACTAGTGACCCGACTGACTTCTCCTCCCTGCCACTGGCTCTTGGGAAGATGTGGGCAGGTGTCCACCCCTCAGCGAGGCCTTCCCTGCATGTGACCATCACATGGCAAGGGGGGCTTGCCCTGCTGCCACCTGCCCATCCGCCTTCCCCACCTGGCTGTGCACCTGCATCTGGCTGGCTGAGGCCAGCTGCCTGCCTGGATGCCTCCTGGGGATGAACCCAGCCTCCAAGACCACCTCTTTCATTGTTTTTACTTTTTTAAGAGACAGGAACTTGCTGTCACTGAGGCTGGAGTGCAGTGGCATCATCATGGCTCAGTATGGCTTCAGTTTCCTGGGCTGAAGCAATCCTCCTGCCTCGCCCTCCCGAAGTGCCGAGATGACAGGTATGAGCCACTGTGCTCAGCCAGGACCACCTTCAGTATCCCCTCCACAGCCCTGGGACTACGGAAAGAAGACTGAAAGGTGACAACGGGAAAATACTCTACAGAGATGAGAGGGGACAGGGGCAGGTGCTGGGGGTGGAATTGCCACCTTCAGGGCATTCACTGTGAACTGGGAGGCACCTCCCTTAACATGTCCACCTTCTATGGGGGGCTGCACTTCACCTCCAACTCCCAACTCCCACAGCCTTTCAGGAAGGAGGTGAGGCCTCATGGAGGCAAATGGGGCGGTGTGTGCCGCAGCTTCTGTCTGTGGAGGCTGGTACCGCTGCCAGCCTGGCTCGTCCTATCCCCAACGGCGCTCCCACAGGGCATCTGGCCATTCTGCCTGTAGCCCAGGCCTGAGCTGGAATGACCGAGGACACATGCAGTAGTGGCCCCCACATCCCTGGTGCTGCTCTGCCTTCCTGTGGGGCTAGGCGCTGCGGGTGCTCACCGTCGGGGTAGTACTGCTGGCCCATGGGCTCTGCGGCACTCTGGCTGTGACTGTACTGCTCGCCGTAATACTCCTCCTGGCCCAGGTACTGCTGGGAAGAGCCTGCGGGGGAACCACAGTCAGCACCAGTGCGGGCCGCAGCCTCCTCCTGCCGAGGACCTCCTCACTCGGTAGGGAAGCCAAGGCCCCGCTGAGTGGCCTTGCCCACCCCCAGGAGAACACCCACGGTGTTGCTGTAAACAACTTATTTTTTGTATTTTTAGTAGAGATGGAGTTTCACCATGTTGGTCAGGCTGGTCTCCCAAAGTGCTGGGACTATAGGGATGAGCCCGGCCTGGCTGTGCCACCCTCCCCCAACACTGACTTCTTGGGGACAGCAGACCCCTCAGCAGGCCCCACTCCACCCCCACACAGCCAGCGCCCACACTCAACACACACCAAGGCGCCAAGCCTCACTCCCCCATGCGCCCCGCAGAGCAGCACCCACAGACTGGCACTTCATGACCCGTGGCGGTCAGCTGCACCTGAGACCCGGCCTGGCTGGGTGTTACCTTGCTGGGAAGACCGGTAGGGCGCCATGGGCCGCTGCCCCATCATGCTGCTCCCCTGGCTGCCCTGGCCCATCATGGCGATGGATGACTGGCCCTGGTAGTGCTGGCTGCCACCCTGCGTGGAGCTGTAGTGTGATGTGGCCGCCTGCTGCTGCATCATGGAGACTGTGACAGGAGAGAGGCCTCATGTCACCTCGGGAGAGGACAGAGGCCCCTGTCACCCCAGGAAGATGACAGGACAGAGGCCCCCGTTACCCTGGGAAGAGGACAGAGGCCCCCATAACCCCAGGAAAAGGACAGGACAGAGGCCCCCATCACCCCAGGAAGAGGACAGGACAGAGGCCCCCGTCACCCCAGGAAGAGGACAGGACAGAGGCCCTTGTCACCCCAGGAAGAGGACAGGACAGAGGCCCCCATCACCCTGGGAAGAGGACAGGACAGAGGCCCCCGTCACCCTGGGAAGAGGACAGAGGCCCCCGTCACCCCGGGAAGAGGACAGAGGCCCCCGTCACCCCGGGAAGAGGACAGAGGCCCCCATCACCCCGGGAAGAGCCTCCCTCCCTCCCTCCTGTACCCAACTACCTCCTGTGCCCAGGCGGGCCCTTTGCTATTTTCCTGTGCTCCCCACGAAAACACTGCCCTCCACTGCAATGTATACCTGCTACGCGGCCTGCACTGACGCCCTGCATGCTCAGACCCCCGCTGCTGGCACCCACTAGTTAAACAAGTGCTGACGTGCAGAGACAACAGGGAGAGCCCCTGGGCAGGAAGCTCCAGGGCCTTCCACAGCCAGCAACCACCTCTACCCTTTCCTCGGACATACGGCTCCCGTGACAACCCAAATTCCACTGCGGCTCAAGTCCTGTTCTCCCTGGTCCCTCGAGCTGGTCTCAAGGGTCACACTGTCCCCGCCTTAGCACCTCTGCAACCTTGACGCCCTTCACACTGGTGGTGCAGTGTTCCCTGCCTACGGCCGGTCATACATGTCCCCTGCTCAGGAGCCCCATGAAGCCCCATCTAACATAAGTGACATGAGCCACACTTTTTAAAGTTTCTTGTAACCATATGAGAAAAGTAATAACAAATGGAAAATCCATTTCAATCACGCACTTTATTTGAGTATGTCCAAACTAAACGTTTAACATTCAGTGATTCTGAGGAAATCCTAAGGAGATCCTCTGCACCCTTTGCTGGCACTAAGCCTCTGAAGTCCAAGTACCTCAAACACTCATGACACTCAACCGGGGCTGATGCTCACGAAATGCGGCGGGGACCTGCTGCTTCTCAAGTGCCCAACACTGCACGTGGCCACCACGGCAGATGGCACTGCTCTTGGGCTCCCATGGCCCTGCAGAAAGGCTGAGGCCTCTGGCCCAGCACGTGTGGCCCCTCGTCTTCTCCACTGAGGTGTCTCCGGCCAGGCTGTTCCCACACCGGGGAACGATTCTACCCACCTCTGAGCGCCCAGTGCTGTCTGTCCAGACCCAGGGCCTGTGGCCCCCACTCCCTGAGACTCCAGGGGAAACACCCCCGCCCCTCACGAGGCTGGGGGACAGGAGGAGTAGGCTGTGCACCCACTGGCGTCCACCCCTCCAGAAGCTCTCTGGGAGAGGGTCGGCACAGACTCATGGGCCCCTCCCCAACAGCACCCAGCAGGAAGGCAGCTCCCTGGGGACCACATGTCCACCGTGCATGTGCGTCAAGGGTCTTGGAGGCAGGCCCAGGCCTCGCGGGGTGGCAGAGGCAGAGGAGGTACCTGGATTGGACTGCATGCTGATGTTGGTCCGAGATACGTAGTTGCTGATGGTGCCTTGTCCCTGCATGGGGACACCCTGCGACGCGGGCCCTGCGTGGCTATAGCCGGACCCTGAGACACTCATGGAGGTGGTGGGCAGCGTGTTCGGCGCTGTCTGCTGCATGGACACATGGCTCGGTCCTGCCAGGAGAGTAGGGAGCAGGGTCAGGTGCTGGGCAGCCAGGTCACCATTTCTAAAGGTGAAGACACCCCAATTTCCCTTCAAGTGATTTTGGGGAGAGATGCTATCAATAGCATTATTATTAACCATTAAGTGACTAATAAATAAATAAGTGACTAGGCACAGTGGCTCATGCCTGTAATCCCAGCACTTTGGGAGGCCAAGGTGGGCGGATCACCTGAGGTCAGGAGTTCAAAACCAGCCTGACCAATGTGGTGAAACCCCATTGCTACAGAAAAATTAGCCGGATAGAGACCATTCAGGCCAACAAGGTGAAACTCTGTCTCTACTAAAAAATACAAAATATTAGCTGGGCATGGTGGCGCACACCTGTAGTTCCAGCTACTCGGGAGGCTGAGCCACAAGAATTGCTTGAACCCGGGAGGCGGAGGTTGCAGTGAGCTGAGATCATGCCACTGCACTCCAGCCTGGCGCTGTGACAGAGCAAGACTCTGTCTCAAAAAAAAAAAAAAAAAAAAAAAGAAAAAATTAGCCTGGTGTGGTGGCGCATGCAATATAGTCCCAGCTACTCAGGAGGCTGAGGCAGGAGAATCGCTTGAACCAGGAGGCAGCATACAGGCTAGCAAAGTATAAAAAGAATGGTACACTTGTTGTTACTGTGTTACTATTTTTTGAGACAGGGTCTGGCTCTGTCACCCAGGCTGCAGGGCAGTGACATGAACATGGCTCACTTTGGCCTCAGCTCCCAAGCTCAAGCGAGCCTCTCACCTTGGCCTCCTAAGTATTTAACAGTTTGGACTACAAGTGTGCGCCATCACAGCCGGCTAATATTTTTATTTTTCGTAGAGATGAAGTTTTGCCATATTGCCCAGGCTGGTCTCAAACTGGCCTCAAGTGATCTGCTGGCTTATTAGGCCTCACAATGGGTCGGGATCAGAGATCTGAGCCACCATGCCTGGCCTGTTATATGATTAACAGTCTCCAAATGCTACTCATACTTTTCAATCCAATGACAGAAGCATTCCATCCTTATCCAACCACCTACCCAGAGCCCACATCTTGCATGAAGCGGATGGAATATGATGGTGTGAGAAAGTGGGAGATCTGGAGTAAGGACTCGTCCAGCAGCGCAGCAACCGCACCAGCCCCGAGCCTGGGTGCCGGCAGCAGACCTCTGGCTGCCCCAAGAGAAGCGGGTATCCATGCCCAGCACTGCAAGGTGTGGGGTGTCCACCATGGCAACCAGCAGCCCAGGGCTGCCTCAGTGACCTTGTGGCCAGGAATGGCCTCCTCCCCCAGCCACACTCACCGTTGCCGATCTGGCCCTGCAGGAGAGAGGAGGGTGGCAGGCCCGTACTGATGGCGTCGCTTAGGCTGCCCTGGGAGTGCAGGCCCTGGCTGGAGCCGCTCTGACTCAGGGCTCCGGGGCCCAGGCTCATGTTCTGCGTGGGCGGCTGTGGGCAACAGGAAGTTTTAAGGAAAAAACGGTTAATTCACAGAGAGCGACCTCTACTGGCCAGGCCAGGGGTGAGAGGGCGCCCGAGCTTTGCTGCCACATGTCACAGCCACCCGGTGGATGTCCATAACCGTCACAACCAGGGTGACCACAGAGCATCAGGCCCAGAGGGAGATGGCCTAACGAGCGTCTGGGTGAGCGTTCAGAACTCTAGTGAGTATCGAGTTCATCCACACACATGCCTGGGTGTGAAATGCTACACCTCCTTCTCCTGGGACAGCAGGGACCCCTTCCCTGGCCCACCAGGCTGCACCCACCCCATCCCTCTCGGGTGCAGCTGGCCAGTGCCTCTGTATTCCTTGTCCGCAGCCCCTCCATGCTGAGGGCCTTAGCACAGGCGGGCTCTCTCTGCTGTTTCCTGTGTTCCTAGTGCGTGTGCCCCCCTCCTCCCTCGCTCCCCACCCCTCTATGCCCACCTTGGATCATACCACATGGAAGGGAGTGTGTGTGAAGTGACCCTCAGCACCCCCCCCAACCCCGATCAAGGTCAAACACACACATGCTGTCTACACCTGGCCAAGAAAAGGAAATTTCCAGTAGGACCTATGGGGACCTAAAGGGCAAAGAACTCCAATCGGACAGGTCCATCAAGGTGGGTTTAACGTTTTTACTTGCAAAACACATCCTGGCATGTATGTCATCGTTTCCGGGACTAGGGCTCACTAGGAGATAACGTCATTCCCCATGACACGTTTGTCCCGCAACCTCGCTGCCCCCACAGGCTGGTCCTTCCTCTGCTCAGCAGGACAGAGGCTGCAGCGGCAAGACCTCGCCTTCACGGTGACAATTTAATTTTGGAAAAATGCATTTAACAAAATCAAAATAAACTATCTGAACATCTGGAGAATTTACTATGCGGAGCATATTTTCTTTTAAGTTCCATTTTCACCCACAACAGCGCATGTGCACAGCTCACAACTGCTCAAAGCACCCAGAGAGGTTCCAGGGAGATGTGGGGGGCCCCATCTCACCTCTCCACATCCCACACCCAAGAGCTGCTGCTGCCACTCCTAGAGTTCTGGGACTTCCCCCCATTCGATACATAAAATGGCTGAGCCACTGTTCTGACCTGCCACCTCAGATGCTGTCATTAACCCCAGTGTGTCACAAAGGGCTGGTCACCGCCGCCCACACCTCCCACTTCTGGTGGTTTTGGTGGTATTGCTGAATTTCCCTGCGAGTCACCTCTGCTACCTGAGGTGACACCCCCAGAACTCTGATTGGAGGCATGTCGGATCCTTGCTGGGTCGGGGGCCCACCCCGTGGGGGTACTCACGGCGGGAAGCAGGGACTGCATGTTCTGGTTAGAGTCTGCGATTGTGGCCAGGTATACCAGGTTCCGGTGCAGGATCTGCTGGTACCTGCGGGTGAGGGGCACTCGTGAGGTCGAACGGGACCACGGAGTCCCCAGGCGGATCCATGGCAGAAGTAAAGTGTGACCGAGACAGCCTGACATTCAGCCAAACACCATCAGGACATGGACCCCAGATGACACCCAGGGACAGGCCTGCCTGCCCAGCTAAAAACTGGCAGGCGGCAGGGTACTGGGGTCCAGGTGGGGATGGCAGGGCAGCCTCTACCCCAAACCCTGAGCAGGCTCCCATCCCATGAGAAAACTGGAAATACTCTGAGGTGGCAGCTGAGCGGGAGCTGGCACCAGTCTGTTCAGAGAATGGAGATGGGGGAGGCCACGAGGAGGCAGGGGCCTGAAGGTGACAGAGGGACAAAGCCCTCGTCCAGCTGAGCTGGGCAGCGGGCGGACTCCACGGAGCCAGGGACCCTGAGAAAGGCCTGGAAAACAATAGGGAAGCAGAGTCCTGCCAGGGACGGCCCTTCACACACCTTGCACCAGGGGGCCTCAGTCCCTCACCCCGCCCACACCAGGGCTGTCTGAGGCCCTTCACCCACTTCCCACCTCCAGGTCAGTTTCACGGCCATTTGTATGGCCGCTTGGAAAGTGGCACACTGGCCACGCACCCCTCCTCTGCATTGGGCCCTAGGGTCACAGGAGGTACTATCTAGAGGAGGTGCTGTCCCCTGGTGCCCTGGCTGTTGGCCGCAGAGCTGCCCAGGCCTCCACACACTGCTCTCATGTCTCTCGGAACTACTCCAGTTCTGGCAGCAACGCTTCACAGCTGTGCTGGGGACTCTCGGGACATATCTGAACCCCGTGCCTGGACTCTGCATGATCCCCCCAAACGTTCCCATGTGTGGCCGGGGAGCACTCACTGCGTGCACTCGGCTGTCTTGCCCTTGCTCTGGTACTCCAGGATGCACTGGATCAGGTGGTGGTTCTCGTCCAGCATCTGTGGAGAGAGCATGAGCGGACACCGCGGCTGACCCTCGGGATGAAGCCCCATCACTACACATCTAGTGTCCCTTTCACATAGGCTGAGTGTCCCTTACGCAAAACATGTCAGATTTCATATTTTTCCCATTTGGGGACATCTGTATTAAACTAACTGGTTTGGCATCCCTAACCCGAAAATCTGAAATCCAAAATGCTCCAGTGAGCATTTCCTCTGACCATCACATTGGCAATCAAAGAGTTCTGAATGTTGAAGCACTTGAAATTTCCAGATTTGGACGGCGGTGCCGGTGTGGATGCTGCGCCTGCGCATGAAACTGTCATTACGTGCATCACCTCTGCCACCACGGACCAAACGCTGACCACATCCCTCTGCTAAGGACGTCACCTGTGAGCGGCAGGGCCATCTCAGACCAGGAATGAAAACAGAGGCCCCGTACCCCCAGCAGCCCCCACCTTGAAGAGCCCTCCAGCTGCCAGGGCCCTTGACAGCGGAGCGTCTGTGTAGCCAGCTCAGCCAAGTCAACGGCAAAAATGTCAGCACCCTGCGGGCACCCCACAGGAAGCCCTGGAGCCTCCAGCTGGAGGGGTAGCCTCAAATCACACCACACAGGGAGGAGCAGGACCACAGGAGCAGGGGTTCAGGGCACTCCCAGGTGGGGCATTGAGATTTCCCGCAGGGGCTGCTGCCAACCAGGGTGGGGGAGGGAGGGGGGCAGGGACGGCACCACGCATGGATGAAACCACACACACACAGGCCAGCGTGCAGGCAGGAAAGGTAGGTGAGGCTGAGGAACCGGGCATGACCTGGGGCTGGCAATCTGCAGCCCTCACCCCCAGGGAGTCCCCACCAGCTTCGCTGAAATCCAGTAGAATGGCAGGACTGGCCCGCAGGCCATGCAGAGAAGGCCGGCTCCATGGCTCAAACCTGGTGTGTCTTACATAGAAAGTGTGTGCACATGGACAGGATCATGACCCCAAACCCAGATTAAACCAGTGTCTTGTGAATCAGGTGATTGGCCAGATGTGGGCCTCACAGAGCTGGGCCAGGGGTCTCTGTGGAGGTGCCACGTGCTCCTAGAACTGGCAAAATGGAGGCTTCTGGTGGAGGGATGGCCAGGTGGGGACTCCTCCAAGCACAGCCTGCACTCAAGATCGGCACTGCCAGGAACCCATCAGATGCAGGGCCTCAACCTTTCTCTGACCTGGTGACCCACATGCCTGGCCATGCCTGAGCAGCACAGGGCTGGCCCAGAGATTCCCCAGGTTTCCTTCCCAAAGGGCCTCCTGGACATGTTCGTGTGGCTCCAGGAGGGATCTAAAGTACTCCCCAAATCCAGCAGCCCAAGGCTTTGTGTCCACAGACCTGCGTGTGCTCAGGATGTGCTGAGTCTGGCGGCTGGCAGAAGCTGGGGGCGAGTGGCAGCAGGGGAACAGGGGGCTGGGGCCAGGTGGCAGCCTGTGGAAATCACACAGGATGCCGGTGGGCCACGGGGAGCAGGCACAGGAGAGCTCTCTTCGTAGGTGTCCACCTGGGGGCAGCTCTGGGCAGCCCATGGAGACCCAAAAGGAGGCAGAGGAGGAGAGAGGGGGTGTGGGAGGGGACTGAGAAGATGAGAAGAAGGGACACCCGCCCTGTGACCAGCTGCCTCTGCCTGCAGGGAGGTGCAGGACTGAGCCCACCACACCTGCTGCTTTCCATAAAAAGGCCTTTGCTCAGAGGTTTGCACCCAAGGAAAAAGCGGTGTCTTTTGTCTCCACTAAACCATGCCGGGTCATCTCAGCCCTAAGAAGCTGCTCCCGGCAGGAGCTCTGCAGGGCCCAGAGCAGGGGAACCCTAGGGTGAGGGGAGGAGGAGCCCATCTGCCTGCCTGGGGCCCTGGGGCCACCCAACTGTGCTTCCACCCTACAACATGGCCCCTTTAATTGCCATTTGACCTGGGGAGCCAAACCCACACACAGGCAGGGAGTCCAGGGTGGAGAGAGCCCTGCTAGGCCACCTCCCAGGGCAGAGCCCAGACGCACAGCCCCAGCCGAGCAACTGCCCTCTTCTCAGCTTCCCCCTCGGCCCGTGTCCATGATTTCAGGGTTGCTTTCTCCTGCTCTGTTTTTTCTTTAAATTATACCTTCCACTCTTTCCCCTTTTCACCATGCTGGGGACCAGGTGCCCAGCATTCAGCTGAGCCCAGTGGGCCCAGAAGCCCTCCTGAGGTGGGGAGCCACCAGGGGGCGCTGGGGGCCAGGCTTACCTGTGGGCAGGTGACAGCGTTGGCATTCCAGATGGCTCTGCCTCCAGATGAACCGAAGGAAGGGGACAACTATGAACTTCCTTCCTTCCCCTTTAAAGGGCTTCCCCTCCTTGACTCCTTACTCCCAGGCAGAGATTGTCTCCAGAGACACAAAATAGACACGGCGGGCATTTCAGCATGACTCCTAGCACTGGGCTGCAATGAGTGGGGGGGCGCAAGCCACCCGACTTCACTAAGCAGAGCCCTGCACATGTGCACCAGCCAGGGCAGTGCCATGGGAGTTCATGCACGCATGAGGAAACGTGGCATCGGTGTGGGTTTTTAAAAAGCTAGATACAGAGAACTTTCTCACGTATGTTGAACACGTATCCATTTAAAAAAGGGCAGGACAGGCAGAACCAAAGGCAACAGACTGATGCCCCAAGCCCGAGGCTGAGGATGGAACCGGTGTGGCCTTCTAAGGACAGAGGCAACGGCAGGAGTTTGGAAGCTGAAAAGGATGAGTAACAACCAAATCAGGGCTCCCAGCCCCCGGTGCCTGGGCTGAGCCAGGCTGCACTGTGAAGCCTCACAAGGCTCAGGAATGTTGAGATTCCAGCACCTTTCAGGGTCTCCGGTGCCCTGGGAGATGAGGGTTGGAGGAGGGGCATCTCCAGGAAAGTGACCAGCCCAGAGGAAAAACGCTCAGGCACGGAAGGGAATGAGCACCTGAGAGCAAACCACAGGCCCCACGCCTACCTGAGGACGCCAGGCAGCACCCCGGCCTCCAGTTCCCAGAAGCCACAGCTGCATGGCACCTGCCTGTCACTGGAGCCTGACATTTGAGAGACAAAGGCCAAAACCAGCCACAGAGGCCAAAATCCAAAGATGAAGATTATGCAAGATGGAAACTTTTTTCTATTTGCTTTTCTTCTGAGACAGCGTCTTGCTCTGTCACCCAGGCTGGAACGGGGTGGCGCGATCTTGGCTCACTGCAACCTCCGCCTGTCAGGCTAAAGTGATCCTCTTCCCTCAGCCTCCCGAGTAGCTGAGACTAGACGCATGCCACCATGCCTGGCTAAACGCTTTTTTCTGTTTGTAGAGAGGGGGTCTCCCTGTGTTGCCCAGGCTGGCCTCAAACTCCTAGGCTCAAGTGATCCACCCACCTCTGCCTCCTCAAGTGCTCGTTACAGGCATGAGCCATTGCACCCAGCCTGAAACTTCCAAAAAAAAAAAATCCAACAAAACCTATTTGTAATATCCTTATGAAGTCGGCCAGTGCAGTGATGCAGGTCACTGGAGCCCTGAAAAAGATGATGATGCCTGTTAGAAACCACAGAGGGAGAAGAGCTGTGCAGGGAAAAACCGTGTTAGCCAAAACACAACTCAACAGAAGGGTGAGAAATGAAGTTGAGGAAGGGTCCCGGAAAGCAGGACAGATTCACCGAGAAGACAGATCACCAAGTGAGAGGCGTGGGCCACCGTGAAGACAGTGAATTCCGACGACATGGGGCCTCCCAAGAGGGATGGCAGGGGTGATGACCCTGTGAAGGAGAGTGAATTCCCACGGCACAGAGGACTGCAGGGGTGATGACCCTGTGAAGGAGAATGAATTCCGACGCCACGGAGGACTGCAGGGGTGACGACACCGTCAGGATGGTGAATTCCGACGCCACAGAGGACTGCAGGGGTGATGACACCGTCAGGATGGTGAATTCCGATGGCACAGAGGACTGCAGGGGTGACGACACCGTCAGGAAGGTGAATTCCGACGCCACAGAGGACTGCAGGGGTGACGACACCGTCAGGATGGTGAGTTCCAACGACACAAAGCCTCCCATATAGGACACGGGATGGCAGGGGTGATGACCCTGTGAAGGAGAGTGAATTCCGACGGCATAGAGGACTGCAGGGGTGATGACACTGTCAGGATGGTGAATTCCGATGGCACAGAGGACTGTAGGGGTGACGACTCTGTGAAGGAGAATAAATTCCGACGCCACAGAGGACTGCAGAAGTGACGACACCATCAGGATGGTGAATTCCGATGGCACAGAGGACTGCAGGGGTGACGACACTGTCAGGATGGTGAATTCCGACGGCATGGAGCCTCCCATACAGGACACGGGATGGCAGGGGTGACGACTCTGTGAAGGAGAGTGAATTCTGACGGCATAGAGGACTGCAGGGGTGACGACACTGTCAGGATGGTGAATTCCGATGGCATGGAGCCTCCCACACAGGACACGGGACACGGGACAGCAGGAGGGGTGATGACCCCATGAAGACAGTGAATTCTGACAGCACGGAGCCTCCCACACGGGACACAGGAGAGCAGGGGTGACGAACTCATGAGGACAGTGAATTCCGACAGCGCGGAGCTTCCCACACAGGACACAGGAGGGCAGGGGTGACTACCCCACCGAGACTTCTGAAGGAGCTGTGCCCAACACCAAGAACACCCCACGGCGAGATAACCCAGGCCCAATGATGACCTCTGAGTGACCGATGGCCGGGCCTGGGGAGGCTCTGGAGGAGGGATGAACTCGCTGCAGAGGCTTCTGGAAGGGCTGTGGTCTGATCCTGAGGGAGACTTCTGTGCAGAAATTCTATCAGCCGAAACCCCAAGCAGGCGTGAAGGGAGAATGGATGCACTTTTGGACCCGAAAGTTAGGAAAACGTACCTCGTACCCAAACTGAGGGCACGTGATGTTGCGCCGGCATTCTTCAAAGACGTCAGTGTCATCAAGGACAAGGCAGACGGACAGACGGTTCTCAACCGGGAGACTTGACAGACGCGGTCCCGGGGTCCTTCCATAATCCTTAATGATGTCCTCAAAGGCCATTATGGGGACCACCAGGAAGTCAGAGTGAGCCAGCTCGGACGGCAGCTACTGCCGCGTCACCACCCCCATTTCAACCTTTGTATGGTGAGCGTCAGGTCCTCGTTGGCAGCAACATCACGTTCAAGGATCTGGGAGTAGAGGAGCACCAAGTCTACAACTCATTCTCAAACTGTTCAGGAAACAATAACGTGTCCACAGGACAGAAGAGGGGCGAGGACAGCAAACGTGGTGGCGTTAACATGTGGGCAGTCAGGTGAAGGGACTGTGGGAATTCTGCTTAAAGGGGCACATCCCAAACACCTGTCGTCGGGAGGCCATGCAATCATGCACCTCCTCCCCAAACCAAGGGAGCAAATCCCAGAAGAAGATCCGAGACCCAACCCAAGAGAAGCCAAAAGAATTCGGCCAATGGAGGGAGGCCCAAGGAAAGCAGCTCTGAGACCCGACACCCGAAAGAATATCTGAGCCAAGGAGGAGATACACTAGTGACAAGTGATCAAAAAGAAAAACAACAACTCCAGGGAAAACAAGCCAGGCAGGAAAAGCAGTCACACGGTCCTGCACAGCTCAGCAGCAAGCAAGGTGTTCACCACCACCACATCGACAGCAGAGGCAGAGCCAACCCCAGAGAAAGCCACTCTGACGGACCCAAGTGTGGGGAGCGCAGGTGCACAGCAGGGACCCTGATATGGTCAGGCTGTGTCCTCACCCAAATCCCATCTTGAATTGCAGTTCCCATAAGCCCTACGTGTCGTGGGAAGAACCCAGTGGGAAGCAACTGGATGGATAATGGGAGCAGTTTCCCTGATACAGTTCTCACGACAGCGGTGAGTTCTCACCAGATCTGATGGTTTTATAACCGTGTGGTATTTCCCTGCTTGTGCTTCTCCTTCCCGCCGCCATGTGAAGAAGGTCCCTTGCTTCCCCTTCTGCCATGATTCTAAATTTCCTGGGGCCTCCCCAGCCCTGCAGAACTCTTGAGTCAATGAAGCCTCTTTCCTTTACAAATTAACCAGTCTCAGGTATATCTCCACAGCAGTGTGAATGACTAACGCACATGCCAATGGCGTTTCCTAATGCCTGATGTGCACCCATGGCTTTGGTGAGCATAAAATCCAAAGCAAAAGACCCTGACGGGAGGGAAATGCGCTGACAGGCCGCTGCAGCCCCTGCTCTGGAGCTTGTCGATTTCTAGTTTCTTACTTATCTGTTTATGAAAACCTCTAAGACAAGCATTTACTCACAGTATGGTCTGCAAAGTGATCTTAAAGAGGCCTGAAGTGAGTCTGGTTTGCTGGGGCTGGTGATGGGCCCGCCTGAGTCTCCTCTTCCGGGTATGTGGAGAGAGCTGTGTCTTGCAACTCAGAGAAGCAAAGAGTGCACGTCAAGAAGCTGGGAAACTGTCTGCAGAAAACAGCAGTAAATATGGACAATCAACGCTCCGGGCTGAGTGAGCGGCTTCCTTGTTCAGCGCAGTGTTAGAGGCACGCATCCAGCAGAGGAGACTCAGGCAGGCCCATCACTAGCCCAGCAATCCAGACTCACTTCAGGCCTCTTTAAGATCGCTTTGTAGACGATACTGTGAGTGAACACTTGTCTTAGAGATTTTCATAAACACAGACACACAAGGCTGGAGAATAGGGGAATGGGGGCCGCTGTGGGAACAGGAGTCCTGTACCCAGAGTGGGGGTGACTTTCTCAACCGAAGCCTGTGCTCACTGCAGAGGCTGGCCAGACCAAGACCGCAACGTGGCTGGGCACATTCATTGCCCAGTGTACAACAAACCTCCCAGAGCCATGTGGCTGAGTCATGATTTCTTAGTTCTCATGATTCTAGAGGGCTGGCTGGGAGGGTCTTCTGCTGGGCTTGGCTGGGCTCACCGCTGAAGCAGCTGGGACACCCAGGCCTCCTTCTCCCTGTGTGGTCATCCCTGTGGTCTCAGGCTCCAAGGGGAGCCCCAACATGTATCTGTCAGCCTGGCTGATGCCAGGGCCAAGCCCAGCATCCACAGGGAGATGAACCCAAGAGGCACAGAAGCTGCAACCATGGTGATCAAGCATGCGGGTGACCAGAGAAACTGGATTTGGCAGGCGGGGACTGATGGGGGACACAGCCAGGCTTGGAGAGCCCAGGGCACAGCCAGGCACCAGGGATGGGGCCTGGGGCTGCCAAAGCCCCACTGTGGGGTCCTGACTGGGTAGGTGAGGGAGTGAGGATAAGAACTGGGGACTGGGGTCCCAGAGGCCACAGAGAGTAGGGGAAGGGCTGGGGCTGTCAGGCAAAAAAAAACCCTGGGTGAGGGGCTCTCAGAGCAGAGCCCCAGTCTCCCCAGTGACAACCTGTGTGGAGCCCTGAAAGCCGGACAGAGAGGGCCTAGGGCTCTGAGGCTCACTGCCGGTGGCCGCAGGCGGGGACTGATGGGGGACACAGCCAGGCTTGGAGAGCCCAGGGCACAGCCAGGCACCAGGGATGGGGCCTGGGGCTGCCAAAGCCCCACTGTGGGGTCCTGACTGGGTAGGTGAGGGAGTGAGGATAAGAACTGGGGACTGGGGTCCCAGAGGCCACAGAGAGTAGGGGAAGGGCTGGGGCTGTCAGGCAAAAAAAAACCCTGGGTGAGGGGCTCTCAGAGCAGAGCCCCAGTCTCCCCAGTGACAACCTGTGTGGAGCCCTGAAAGCCGGACAGAAAGGGCCTAGGGCTCTGAGGCTCACTGCCGGTGGCCAGCTCACCCCACACCGGGCAGAAAGGCCACCAGTGTCCTCGTGGTTGTCCTGGCTAATTACAAAGACTTTTGTAACCTTTTTAAGTTTGTAGGCGGAATCTGTGGCTCCTCCTACCCAGAGGCCAGCTCTGCTCCTTCTAGAAGCGTCTCGCACGGAACCTGTGCACTCCCCTCCCCATCCTGCACACAGCTGACACATTCCATTCTCGCTACTCCACAATCCCTTTCCTCCCAAATATCTCGAAGACTGCCCTCTATCAGCACATGAAGACCCCACCTGTCCCTTGAGCCCAGGAGGATGAGGCTGCATGAGCTGTGATCGAATCACTATACTTTAGCCGGGCCGAAAGAGCCTGTCTCAAAAAAAAAAAGATCCCACCTTGAACGTTTCCTATGCTTCAGAGAATTCCACGACATGGACAAAACATAGTACTCAGTGTCCTTGGACAGACATTTAAACTGTTCCCCATCTTCTGCCACTGAGTCACACGCATGGACACAGTCACACGCATGGACCCTGAGCCAGGGCATGGACACAGATGCAGGATCAATTCCTAGGAGTCCTCCTTGGTGTGAGGGGCAGCCATGGCTAATGAGCCTGGTTAAGCATCAGCAGGTGGCGAAGCCAGCGATGGCCTCTGTGCTAGCACCTACCACTCCTGTGCTAAGAGCAGACGTCGCTGATGCATGAGCACCTCCCAGCGAGCCCAGCCTGGGCCGCTCCGTCCCTGCCCGAGGTCGGCAAGCCACACTACACACTCCACTACCTGAAGTCAGGGAAATCCCTTGGAACATTCACCCCGCCGAGGAATACGTGAGGTTGGTGTGTGGGTCTCAGAAGGGCCCCCATAGGCACACATATGTAGTCTCCTTGGGAGGAGCTGGCTCCTGCCTTGTGCGTGGCTCCACCACTGTGTGCCTGACGTGTGTGTGCAATTCTCAAAGACTCTAGAACGTGCGAAGACACGTGTAACACCGTGTCTGCATGTGCGGCGGCCACTTTCCACCTCATGCTGCTTGGGGGAGTTTCACAGCACAGCACGACAGAATCATTTTGCTTCTGACAATTCCCAAGCTGAAGAAAGACAAACTTATTGTACTAAAAACATGGATGCTTATATGTACCTCATCCACATACTGACAACTATCTTTCCTTTTTGACACTACCCTGGACTTGCAATAGTTTCCTGCTGTTTGGAATGCAGTCCTCACCTCCCTTTTTGAACACCACAGATAAATTCCAGCTGCTCCGGCCAAGCGCGGTGGCTCAAGCCTGTAATCCCAGCACTTTGGGAGGCTGAGGCGGGTGGATCACAAGGTCAAGAGATCGAGACCATCCTGGCCAACATGGTGAAACCCCAACTCTACTAAAAAATATACAAAAAATTAGCTGAGCATGGTGGCGCGTGCCTGTAATCCCAGCTACTCAGGAGGCTGAGGCAGGAGAATTGCCTGAACCCAGGAGGCAGAGGTTGCCATGAGCTGAGATCGCGCCATTGCACTCCAACCTGGGTAACAAGCGCGAAACTCCGTCTCAAAAAAAAAAAAATTCCAGCTGCTCCTTGCTGGTTGTGTCCCATCAAAGGCCAAAGCTGACCAATTACAAGGCTGCCAGGCATTGCCTTACCCCCACACACAGGCCAGAGGGAGGCCACAGCCCTGTCCGCTTCCCAGGCCCCACAGGACTCCCCATGCCGCCCACTAGCTGCTCCACCTGCTGGCTGCTTGGCACGCAGGACCTGTGGTGGTGACATTCACCCTTTATTCCTACACCCACTGGGGGCAGGCGTGACACTCCATCACCTGCAGCCTGGGGATTCCAGGAATTATGTCCTCGGACTCCAAGCACACAGAGGCAGGTGCCCAACCCAATGGCCCGGGGAACAGACCACGCAAAGGGCCGGGGCCTGGAGGAGAGTGCCTGAGGGACCGCTGGTTAGTGAGTGCCACCTCGGCAAGATGGGCCGCCTTTGCCTGCTGCCTCCAGACTCCACACCCAGTGACTGCATGGCAGACAGACTCTGGAGACCTACCAGCCTTGGAAAGGCCAGAGGTAAAAGGGCAGTGGGCAGGCACTGTGTCTCTATCCAAATGCATCCTTACCCTCCAGGCTGGCGGGGGCAGGGTGAACACCTTCAGGAGCACATGGCAAGAGGGTGCACGGTCAGTCTTCACAGGCAGTGGCTGCTCCCTCCAAGAAAATGCCTTTCTCCTGCACACCTCCCCAACAGCGCTCAGGTTCAAGGGCCTTGCAGAGTGGCTCCCTCACCTGAGGGAAGCCAGCAAGGCCTGCGGCTATGGGGTCCTTCCCCAGGGCCCAGACCAGGCACTGGAATGAGGTATCTTTACACCCCGCTCCTCCCCAACCCTGGGAATGTAAAGACAGGCCCGCGTGCTCCCATTCTCGGGTGGGGAAGCCTCTGATCACAGGAAGAACATTGTGAAAGTCTCGTCCAAGGGAGGCTCGGTGTCCCCAAGCCATGCAGTCACAGTACAGCTCTGACCTTACAAACATTCCTAGCTGAATTAGCTCACGTTCCTTCAGACGGCAAGTTCCAGGTTTGAGAGAGCACAGAGGGCGCTGACTGCCTGCCGGGCGTGCACCCCATCCTCCGCAGCCCAGCTCACCCATGCCACACCCCTTCACCTGGGTACCAAGGACATGGGGTAGGGCTGTCCAGGGTCGACCACTCCCTGACTTTCGGACCCTGGGCACAGCACCTACCCACCCCACGGAAAGACTTGTCTTACCACACCAAACCTACCCAGCAGACAGCCCCAGGGGCCCACCTCCTCTCAGCTCTGTCCTGTTCCCTCAGAGCTTTACCCCAACCCTGCCCCGAAACAGGAGCTGAGGAGCCAGACACCCAGCAGATGGGCAGACACCATTGCTATCATCCGGTCAAGGAGACCAATGAGAAAACCAATGCCAACAGAAATAGCAACACATTTATTGAGCAATTATTGCGCGCCAAGCAGCAAGGAGCCACCCAAGGGTCCCCTCCAAGCCTGGCCATGTGGCCCATAGTGACCACTGCAGCCCCAGCCCCAAGAGCAGTGTCAGGAGCATAGCAAGCAAGGCCCAGGGGCCACGGCCCAGCCCCGCCTCATGGTCCCCAGCATAGTCATGTCCCCTATGCTGCTCGCCACAGTGCAGTTCTGACTGTCTCACTCATGCACTGCCGCCTGGTCACCACCAGGCACCCTCCCCATCAGCCCAGCACTCCCTGGCCTTCCCCTGGGGGTCCCCCAATACCTGCTCCATGCAGGCCAGGCTCGGGACCCTTGTGACTTCCCTGAAGCTCCCTACAGCTCCCTGCCTCTGCCTCATGGTTCTCCTTCGCTGGGACAGCTCTCACCACAATGCACCCTTGTAGGCTGAACTGTGGCCTGACCCCTGGTGCCTGCACAGGGGAAGTACTGGAAACAGGTTATTTGCAAATGGAATCAAGTAAAGATGGGGTCATGCTAGATTAAGGTGGACCCTAAAACCAATGACTGGAGTCCTTATAAGGAGGAGGAAAACTGAGATACACTCACAGAGAGAATGCCACATGAAGAAAAAGCAGAGACCAGCCGGGCACACCTACAAGCTGGAGAACACCAAGGGCTGCCACAGCCACCAGAAGCCAAGAGAAGAGCAGGCGCTGACAGCCGGACTTTGGACGTGTGGCCTCCAGAGCTGTGCGGCAATCCATTTGTGTTGTTCTAAGCCACACAACAGTTGTGGTAATGTGTCAAGGAAGTCACAGGACACTAACATTTCCACTGATGGAACGAGCATCACAGACGTGCCAGTGTGCGCTCAGCACTAACTGTGCCCAGGTGCCATGCGAAGCTGGGGATCAGTAAAAAAAAATAAACCAGCCACATGGCTAAACTCAGGAGCCCAACCAAGTGTTCCACGGGCCACAGAACTGCCAAGGGAGCATGACAGATGGAACATGTGAGTGAGGCTTTGAAGGTTGAGTAGAAGTTGGCCTGGAAGAACCCTACCCACAGGTAATGCTGTAAGGATGAGTTGTATATTCCCTTCACTACCAAGCCGGCTTCTGAGGAGTCCTTGGCTTCTCTTAATGCTCTCAGCATGAGACTATTAGCACACAGTGTGGACACAGCACACATTGTAGGCACAGAATATGTACCTCTCACACCCTTCTCACACCTCTCAGTAAAAGATCCCTGGGTACATATATTCATGTCAAAACACCAAGCCCAACAAGCAGACTGCTGGCCCTACCAGGCCAAGCCAGCAGCCTAACCTGAAGACCCATTTCCAATGGTCAGCAGCCGATTTTCTGCCCCAGGATGCGCAGTCCACAGGTGCATTTCTTCCATCTGATGTTTGGAGCTGTGCCCCCAAAACACACTTTTACCTGGGGAATTTGGGGAGCTTTAATGGAAATGTGTGTGAAGTACAAATAACTGGATGACTGCTGGAGCCACAGGCAGCTTCTGGAAAAATGATTGTTAGGCTCCAAAAAACGAGTGCCAGGAGACATTGTGGGTTCCGCCAGGTGCCTCTGAGCCTAGAGCTTGACGTGTGCCTGGCCACGTGTTCCCAGACCAAGGGGCACCGACAGCAGACCCTGGCACCACAGTCTGGGTTCAATGCCTGGCTGTGCCATGCTGTGACACTTAGCAGCAAGGCACTTCGCCCCCCTAGGCTTCAGCATCCACTTACAGCAAGGCACAGCCTCCCTAGGCCTCAGCGTCCTTAGCTATCAAACGGGCTGCCAGTAGCTTCCAAGAAAAATCACATGAATTAAGATTTATAAAACCCGTGTTACAGTGTCTTGGATATAGTAAGCACCACATAAGTGTTTAGTAGGTAAATTAAAATGCCACACCTGTAAATCTGTTTCTGCTGTTCTCAAATAATCTGCCCTGTTCAGAGTTGGCCAGTGCTCTCATTTATTAAGACCATAAATTTCTCAAACTAACCACAGCAAGGGTAGTCTCAAAATAGGCGATAAATTTAGGACAATTTCCACAGGAGACCGGCACGTCATCAAGGAATAAGAGCGTCAGTGAAGGTCAAGGTGAACCCCCGTAGGGAGATAAGCGGCTCCTGGAAACCTAGGAACACCACCGTTTATCCCTGCAGTCCCACCAGGATGAAGACGAGTCAGAGTTTAGGAAAAAAAATCCCAGTGTCACTCCAAAAGATGTTGTGACGACGGAAACAGGAATGGCTAATGCTGATTTTCTTCCGAATTTGTCTTCCACAGAACAGCAGAAAATAAAAAGTCTTAATTTCAAAACTTAGGACTTTAGATAACAGTGTCCTAAACCCATGAAAACGCTGTCTCTAGAAAACCACAAGGCCGAACTTACGGAGTGAGAGAAAAGGTTGTGGAGCAAATCAATAAAGTTTGTTAGGCAAGGCTGTGGGCGAGGGTGTCACGCTGAAACCCAGCGTAGCCGCGAGGATACAGGCGGACGGTGCGATCCCTACGGGGCCGGGCTGCTAAACGGCGACCGAACGGTCCCAAACTGGGCATCCAGACGCGTCCCTCTGTGCCTCCAGCGGCAGGAGAGGCTGCCCCGGCCGCGGTTGCCGCCGTCTCTGTGCGCCCTGAACCCGGCCCGAGCCCCTCTTCACTCGCCAAGCTGAGCGCAGAAAGCGAGTGCCGCCGGCCGCCGCCTTCGCCACCTAGGCTGGCAGCGGAGCTCGACGAGCCCTCGCCCGGGCCGCGAAAACGAATGCCCGTGCGCCGGGTACGGCCCAGAACGGTTCTCAGAGCGCGCCGCGGACTCGGCGGACAGCGCGCTCGGAGGCCGGCACCTTCCGACGTCCGCCCGGCCCCCACCGCCCCGCGCCCGGCCCGAGGGACCCGCGCGCCCCAACGAAGTTGGCGCAGGCTCTCCGGGGGGCGTCCCCCGCACAGCCCGGTGACCGCCAGTGCACAGGCATGGGGCGCGGGGACGGGCACGGGGCCGCCGTCGGGGCTTGCAGCTGCCCGGCTGCGCCCCGGCTTTGTTAGCGCCCCGCGCCTGCCGGCTGCCCGCGCCCGGGCCCCGCGCGCGCTCGCCCCTCCGCAGCCCCGCCGCCCCGCGCCGCCGTCTCGGCCCGGCCCACCTTCTGGATGGTTTGCTGTGTGACCTCCCCTTTGCCTCTTGGTCGGGCGGACGCGAAGGCCACGGACATGGTGGCGGCGCGGGGGTTAGCCCGTGGTCATCGGGGTGGATACTCCGGCTGCGCTCGGCGGCCCGAGGCGCTCATTATCCGCAGTCGCGGCGGGGGACAGGGGGCGGGGGCGCGGGGGGCGCCGCGTCCTGGGCTCGTCCTTCCCGCCGCCGTCGCCTCGCCTCCGGGTCCGCCGAGCAGCCGCGCCGCCCTGCAGAAGGGCCTGTGGTCCAGTGCCGAGCGGTGGCCCCCGGCGGGCTCCTCTAGACCCGCGCTCGGCCCGCCTCAGCGCAGCACCTCCCACCCCCAGCCACCGGTGGTTCCGCCCGGCCCCGCCCCGCCCCCGGCGCGCGCCCGCACGTCCGTGGACGCCGCCTGACGCCGCCCGACGCCTCCTGACGCCGCCCGACGCTGGCAGCGCAGGTCACGGCGCCGAGGGCGGGGGGGGCGGGCGTAGTGGCGCCGGGAGTCGCGGGCGCGCGCGGGCCGTGAGTGTGCGCTTTTGAGAGCGGCGGTGGAAAGTGCTTGGCTGCCGCCCCGCCGGCATGAGCTACGACCGCGCTATCACCGTCTTCTCGCCCGACGGCCACCTCTTCCAAGTGGAGTACGCGCAGGAGGCCGTCAAAAAGGGTTCGACCGCGGTGAGGCGCCGGGGCCTGCGCCGGCCCGGGACGCGGGCGGAAGTGGGGCCGGGGAGCCGGGAGAGGGCCGGGGCCGGGCGCGGAGCTGTGGGCGCCCGCAGGCATACGCGGGGCAGTGGCTTGGGCGACCTGGGCTGCTGTCGAGCGCGGGCCCCGCTGCCCTTCTCCACGAGTGCCTGCAGAGGCGGCGTTTGGTGTGCGAGCCGCAAGCGCCCGTTGCCCCCACCCAACGCCTCGCGTGGGTCCCGGGCGCGCGGGGCCGTGGCGACGCCATCTTGGGTACCCCTGGCCCGGGCCTGGCGCGTGGGTCGCGCTGCGGAGGCCGGGCGAGGGCCGCTCCAGGCTGCGGAGCGCGGGGGTCTGCCTACGCTCTCTAGGGGGCCGTTCACGCAGCGGGTGGCTCGGGGTGAACTATCCAACCAGATCTCCGTTACGGGGATCCCCACTCGCTCAACGGCAACACTTGTCCTTTAAGTCCCGGTGGGCTTCGGAAACAAAGCGACTCGCTGGCAGGGCCGGTGGCGGGCGCCTTCCGGATCTCTGCGCCCTGCCGGAAGGAGCCCTCCGCTGGGCCCGGCTGCAGCCGCCCGGGTCGGGACTGGTCTGAGCACGGCCGGCCGTCTCTTTTTGATGAGGGCTCGTGTACAGTGACCTTAGTGACATTTTTTGAAACTTAAATTCGTAATATCAAGACGTGTAGGTTTTATTGGTCAGGCTGTGAGATCGTTTTTCTTGTATCTTCTGGCATTCAGAGGTTTGAGCAGGCAGAGAAAGCAGCACACGGTTCTGTAAATTTTAAAGTGTTTTCATTTGCTGAATCTTTGTTTCAAAATGAAGGCCCAGTATTCTTCAGGTGGTCTAACTCAGCTTAAAGAGCACTAGGAGGAGTCAGCTGACCCCTGCCCCCAACTCCAATTCTGCCGCCCCCGCCAGCTGGCCGCATCTGGCTTTAACCAACCCTTGTAGCTTCTCTGGGCCTTCCGGGTCAGTTCGAAGGCCAAGTGAGTCTACCTGAAAAAGCTCCCAGAAGACCGAAAACACTTCAGACCAGTACTTCTCAGCCAGGGATGGTTTTGTGCCCTCGGGGCCAGTGGCAGTGTGTAGAGACTTCCAGTGGCCCAAGGCCTTGCAGAGGTGCTCCTGGCATTTAGCGGGTAGAGGCCAGGGACACTGCTGAACATCCCCCTCCGCCCCGCAGCGGGGCAGGGCAGCGAGATCAGCCTGCCCTAGTGGTCACCGAGCTGAGCTGGAGGAGCCCTGCACTGTGAACCAGGAGGCGCTGTTTATCCCAGTGACGGTTTCCTTTGTTTCTGGCTTGACTTGGGGTTAACTGTCTGTGATTGTCCACGCATTTAACAACAGCTACATTCTTCTCTAGTATCAGCCGTAAACAATTTCGGGTAACAGTTGACACCTTGTCCACTGATAGCAAATCAGGCCCCTTCGGTGTCACTTGAGTATGCCATAGTGCAAGAAACAGGGCAGTGTGCCTTAATTTCACAATTACAGAAACACTGCCATTAGAACACCAGACTGGAATGTGAAAGTCTCAGGCTTCCAGGCTTTGCATGGGACTGTTTGATTCATTGGGTTGAAATGAAACACATGCTGATTATATAGCGGTTGATTACTAGCTATGTTGTAACTAAAACTACATTTCAGTATTCTAAAGGCACAGGTTGGCCACCTAGGTGAGCACACCTGGGCTAGCTCTACCAGCAATAGATGAATGCCCTGGGTTTGCAGGATGTGCTGCCAGCCACAGTGACAGACAAGTGGAGGAGAAAGGGGTGCGGGTGAACACACCTTCAGTGGAGGCTGCTGCCCAGAGTACGTTGCCACATGACCCAGGTTCAGATCTGCTCCTAGTGCTCACTGCCTGGCAGTAGAACCATGTAACTTTTTTGGGAGGGTGGGGTGGGGGTGAGGAGTCAGGGTCTTGCTGTCTTCTGTCTCCTGTCTCCCAGCCGTCATGGCTCACTGCAGCCTCCAGCTCCCAGGCTCTGGTGATCCTCCCACCAGCCTCCAGAGGAGCTGGGACTACAGGCTTGAGCCACTATGCCTGGCTAATTTTTGTACTTTTTGTAGAGTCGGGTTTTGCCATGTTGTCCGTGCTGGTCTTGAACTCCTTACCTCAAGTCATCCACTCACCTCAGCCTCTCAAAGTGCTGGGATTACAGGTGTGAACCGCTGCACCAGGCACTCATATCCCTTTCTTACTGGGTTTGTGCATCTTAAAGGTTGGTGTTCGAGGAAGAGACATTGTTGTTCTTGGTGTGGAGAAGAAGTCAGTGGCCAAACTGCAGGATGAAAGAACAGTACGGAAGATCTGCGCTTTGGATGACAATGTTTGCATGGCCTTTGCAGGTACAAGTCGGGGGTGCTGTCTTACTCTCTAGAATCACCGAAGAACAGGGCTTTGGAGATTAACTTGGGTCTGTGGGCTATTGTTAGCCATATAAACTGAGTAAATGAAAGTCATTTAAAAGAAATGGATTTGGGCCAAGACTGTGGCTCACACCTGTAATCCCAGCACTTTGGGAGGCTGAGGTGGGTGGATCACAAGATCAGAAGTTTGAGACCAGCCTGACCAACATGGTAAAACCCCATCTGTATTAAAAATTGAAAAATTAACTGGATGTGGTGGCACACACCTATAACCCCAGCTATTCAGGAGGCTGAGGCAGGAGAATCTCTTGAACCCGGGAGGCAGAGGTTGCAGTGAGCCAAGATCACGCCACTGCACTCCAGCCTGGCTGACAGAGCAAGACTCCATCTCAAAAAAAAAAAAAAAAAAAAAAATGGATTTGGACTTTTAAGTTGGCTAGTTTCTTTGGTGGCCTCTCCGCCACAGCAGGTGAAATAGAAATGGCTAAATGGATTAAAACACTCTGGCTGCTGTGCAGTTTTACCTCCAATGTTATTTTTCTGTATCAGTCAGTTATAATCAAGAAGGCTGGACTTGAGGCGTGGAGAGGGCAGGACCACGTCCTCTATCCCAGCAGTGAAAAGGACTGCACTGCTGGGTTCAGGCCATGCCTCGGCATCTTCTCAGCACTGTTTTGGTCTCGCTCATTTCTTCCTTTGTCAGATCCAATCTCAATTCATGTAATTAGGGATTCACTCAATCTCTAAGATTACCAAGAGGATTCAGGTACTGTGTTTAAGTATGGTCCAAGGCACATAATTCTTCACAGATACTCCCTGACTTAGGATGGTTTGACCTACAATTTTTTATAAAATCCAGATTCTGTACAACAGCCTACAATTTTTTTATTTACCATGGGTTTATGGGGTAGCCAATGCATTTTCAGCCAGGTATTTTCAACTTAATGACAAGTTTAGCGGGATACTGCCCCACTGTACATCGAGAAGCATCCGTACCCAGTTTCCTAGAAGTTCCCAGGGGATGATTGGTTCCACCGTCACTCAAAATAGCCTTGCTGCCAGTTTGGGGATCTGTGGAAGGTTAAATGCTGTGTTGTGTCCCTACCCTGGCCCTGTAGTTTGAGCTGCGTCCACAGAAGCCTGTCTGCTCTCCTTGCAGGCCTCACCGCCGATGCGAGGATAGTCATCAACAGGGCCCGGGTGGAGTGCCAGAGCCACCGGCTGACCGTGGAGGACCCGGTCACTGTGGAGTACATCACCCGCTACATCGCCAGTCTGAAGCAGGTGGGTGCCTTCCTGATCGCATGCTCACCTCTGGCAGCAGGGCAGTCACTGCTTTGCTGTGGAGTGTCACTTCATATGGATGTTTGCATGTCACTTGAAGTAAATCAGAAAACGGATTCATTCCAGGGCATGATCTTGACCTGCACAGTGTAACTTGACCTAACTCACCAATTTGAGTAACAGTGTTGTGTTCTCCACTCCTGACGTGGGACATTCCAGATTCCTGTGTCTGGAGGGAAATGGTGGTTTTTGTCTTGCCATTCTGAATGACCAGTCACCAAGCAGTTGAAGGGGGCTGGAAGCCACCCTATGAGGAAATGCCATTAGTCTCAAAACCAGTATGTAGGCTGGGTGCGGTGGCTCATGCCTGTAATCCCAGCACTTTGGGAGGCCAAGCCAGGTGGATCACAAGGTTGGATTGAGACCATCCTGGCCAACATGGTGAAACGCTATCTCTACTAAAATTTAAAAAAAAAAAAAAAAAAAAAAAAAACTAGTCAGGTGTGGTGGTGCAGGCCTGTAGTCCTGGCTGCTGGGGAGGCTGAGGCAGGGGAATCACTTGGACCCAGGAGATGGAGGTTGCAGTGAGCCACTGCATTCTAGTTCAGCAACAGAGCAAGACTCCATCTCAAAAAAAAAAAAAAACCACTGTGTAAGCAGAATGCATGTCTATCTGGCAAAATAACTTCCAGTAATCTGAGTTGTGCTGCATGGTACAATTCTGGTCCTAAGTGAGTCTGTCTAGGAGTATTTGAAATGCAGAAAAGGATGTTGAAAGCTATTGGCTAATGTATCATCTGAACTACAAAGCTATTGGCTAATGTATCATCTGAACTACCGATAACCTAAGAGGGGCTTCGGCATGATTCAGAATGTTCACGCCTTCACTAAGTGCGGTGGTTTCGTCATGTGCATTTTCATGGTTGATGGCACTGACCTGTTTCTTTTCTTGCTAGCGTTACACGCAAAGCAATGGGCGCAGGCCGTTTGGCATCTCTGCCCTCATTGTGGGTTTCGACTTTGATGGCACTCCTAGACTCTATCAGACTGACCCCTCAGGCACATACCATGCTTGGAAGGTGAGTTCGTGACAAAACCAAGAAGCTTTGGACAGTCTTATCAGAAAAAGGCTTTGAGGGGGTGGGAGGTCCTGGGCTTCCTGCTGTGGGGCCTGCATCAGTGAATAAGTCAGTCACTAAACGTTGTTTGGAAGAAAATCCAAGGGCAGCAAGGTGTAAGGGTAGACCACATAAATTAAAATCTTCGGCCAGGCATGGTGGGTGGCTCATGCCTCTAATCCCAGCACTTTGGGAGGCTGACGCAGGTGGATTACCTGAGGTCAGGTGTTCTAGACCAGCCTGGCCAATGTAGCAAAATATACGAAATAAATATATGAAAAAAAGTTAGCCAGGCATTGGTGGCACCCACCTGTAATCTGGCTGCTCGGGAGGCTGAGACAGGAAAATCACTTGAATCTGGGAGGCAGAGGTTGCAGTGAGCCGAGATCACACCACTGCACTCCAGCCTGGGCAACAGGAGCAAAACTCCGTCTCAAAAAAATCTCCCATTGCCTCTTGATAATGGAATAAAAGGTATAATGCCATTCTTGGTAAGAATCGGCACCAACTCTAAAGCGCTCTTTGCAAAAGGAGGCCACAGGGCAGGGTCTGTGTTCAGGGCTGCTGTCCAGCACTCCAACCTGCTTCCTGCCTCCTGCCACCACCACTGGCTGGGTGGCCCACATGGGGCAGCCGTGTTCCAGGGCTGGCCCTGGGCTGTCATGCCCTATGCCACTTGAGAACATACGTGTCTGTTTTAGGCCAATGCTATAGGCCGAGGTGCCAAGTCGGTGCGTGAGTTCCTGGAGAAGAACTATACTGATGAAGCCATTGAAACAGACGATCTGACCATTAAGCTGGTGATCAAGGCACTCCTGGAAGTAAGTTTGCATTTGGAATCCAGGCAAGGTGGTGAAGATACCACGTTGTAGTGGTGACTGATAGGCTGATGGGCAGCAAGGAAGGTGGCAAGGATGTACCAGTAGTGCTTGATGACACTGCTCTGGTCCGTGGTGTATCCTAACTGATGTGTTCTTGAAGTAGCCATGCAAGGTGTGATCATTAGCACCTTTATCCAGCCGGGGCAGCTGAGGCTTGTGCAGGGGCACACGGCATGGGAACCAGAGGCAGGATGTGAACCCAGCTGTCCAGCTGTGGAATCTTCTCCTAACAGCCATCACTAGGCCTTCCGGAGGCTTGAACGACTGCTAAAGTTAGGGAATTAGAGAACTGGGGATATGGTTAGGTTCTGTCAAGACCTTGAAGTGCTAGGAGGTGAAACCAGAGAGGGACTAGCTGGAAGGCCAGCCTGGAGAGTGGGCATCAGGCTTCCCGGTGGTAACCGCTGTGTCAAGGGGAGGGCCTCCAACATAGCTGCTGTATAGCTGCTGTGCAGAACAGAGCCAGTGCTGGGAAGCAGGAGGGCATGCAAGCATCCCAAATAGACTTCAAAAGTGGCTATGCATTTAGGACAAAGATACAGGTTTCTGGGGCTGGGCCCTCCGTTCCTGGGAGGTAGAGTGCTCCTGGGTGCTGGGTTTGGGCATACAGCTATTTAAGGTACTCCTGAGAGCTGCTAGAGTCTTGACTAGAGAAAGGTGGCAAATGCTCCTATCTTCTATCTCTTCCAGGTGGTTCAGTCAGGTGGCAAAAACATTGAACTTGCTGTCATGAGGCGAGATCAACCCCTCAAGGTAATCACCAGTTTGTCTGCTTTCTTTACCTGTGAGTTTTCTCCATGATCAAGGCTGGGCAGTACCAGTTTGGAAGGAAACATCTGTGATTTTAACATCAGGAAAAGGTTTTTCCGAGGCTGCCCATTATGTCAAAGCAAAGATTCCCATCTTCCCCTCTGGTTAGATGGTCCCCGCATGTTCTCTTGGCATACTTAGCAGCTGCCAGTTAGGAGATCTGCTGCTGCTTAATGCTTGTCTAGGTCAAGGCAGAATCCTTTCATTTTCCTTGAGGTCCCTCTCCAAAGACACTGGACAAGCAGCGGTGCCAAAGCCTGGCTGCCCTCCCCAGAGGATGGTGCTGGTTCCATGGCACCTTGTGTGGCTTAGGTAACTGTGAGTGTACTTTTTTTTATAGATTTTAAATCCTGAAGAAATTGAGAAATATGTTGCTGAAATTGAGAAAGAAAAAGAAGAAAACGAAAAGAAGAAACAAAAGAAAGCATCATGATGAATAAAATGTCTTTGCTTGTAATAATTTTTAAATTCACATCAATCGTGGCTGAGTCTTGATGATGTGTTCCATTCCATTTATTCACACTGAGTGTCCTACAATAAACTTCTGTATTTTTTAACCTTTTTTTTAAGACAACGTGTATCTTTAGGTACAATCATGGTAGTCCTCTCATCTGTCACCCTTTTCAACCCTGAGCCGCTGTAAGTTTGAGCTTTACTTTCTGTTCCTTGTGGCTAAGACAGTAAGCCAGTGTGAGTCAGAGGTTCCTCCCTCAGGAATTCGGAGCTGCTGCCCTGGGTGCTGCAGAGAAACCTAACCTACAGCAGACCTGTTTCTCTGTCATAGACACAATGACTTCTGTTGGCTTTTCTGTCTAAAAGCAATACAAGTCATTTTGTGTCTACGACAGAGAGAAATTAGGGGACTCATTCTAGTCCCCTAATGAATATATAATGTTAAGGACACAACCAAGTAGCCTGGAGTTCATTCTACAGAGGCAGCAGCTTCGTTCAAAGGCAGCTTTGCATGCCTGGCTTTGATAGACCACGCCTTGGCATCTGCCTCCTACTTTCTCCTGAAGACTGGTTGTGGCTCTTCTGCCCTTTGCTGTGTTTTGGCTTTGAGTCTAGCAGCAGTTTAAAGCATGGTCTTTTTGGGTCCTCAGGTTGCCCCTTCCCTCCCGTGCTGTGCTGTGCTGTGCTGCCTGCAGCACCACTTGCTCTGATGCTTGGTTTTGGGCATGTATCTTCTAAAGACTAAAGGGGCCCAGATACACTTTGAGTTTAGCATAAAATGTACAACTGTCAAAACAACATGTTTAACAGCAAGGTCAGTCAGGTGGTATGGCATGACCTGACTACCTTGAGATTCTCTGGCAGGCAATGTCTGTTGCACCAAGTCATCTGGCTGGGTGAGGGCTGTGGCCGCCTGTATCTGAAACATAAGATTTATTTTTCTGCTAGTCAAGGATATCCATTATCCCCACCCAAGAAATGGAGAGACTGATGGCACCATAGGCAGACACTCATGCAGCTGATGTGTCTCCTCTTCCTCTCTGAGGACCACTTTTAAGGTCACCTGGAAACCCATTAGACTGAAATGGGATGCTCTGACCCTAGAACCAGCCTGTCTTTGTTTTCTGTGTGGTTCCAGGTACAACCCCACTCATGACTAACGTGCTCTATGGTGCCTGAAAACATGAGTGCTGCTGAGCTGGGGAGCTTGGAGGCAACAGGGTGGCAAAGGGGCCACTGTTTTATAAAACAGGCATTGTCTGTGAACTGGGTTTTTAAAATGACTTTGTATCCAGTGTTTGGAGAACAGAACCATTCATCCCAGAAGGATGGCCCACAGGGAGAACCCAGGTGTGCTAGCTGCACTTCACCTGAGCAGCTGGGTCAGCTGCTTTGTTCAATCACCTGACAGGGCCCAAGTCTCCCCAGATTCCAGCTTAAGTGTGCTCCAGGCCTGCACATGATGCAGAGATGACCTGGGCAGCAGAGTCAACAGGATTCTTAGGCCATCAGAGAAGGAAGTTTTAAAGGTTTGCGTGTTTATTTATAATTACAATTTACGTCACTCCAACAGAGGAGCCCCCTTGCTATGTTCTAATTCTTAGCCATGAAGTCCTACAAAAATAAACCCAAGCTTTTACAGTAACTTAATCAATACAGAACTAAAGCCTTTGTAGCTAGTAGAAGGGTTTAGTTACCAAGGTGCTTATATTCAACAAAATGACCTGTCACTCAGGATGCATGCGTATACTAAAGTTCTGACCCATCGACTCATGCAACAAGTGTAGACCCCAAATGTAGACCCTGCCCTCCCTCCACCCACCTTTAAAACAAAAACACAAAAGAACAATGTACAACAGAGGGGAAATATGCTCTTGGTCAACTGACCTTGCAAAAAAGACTGGCTCATTTCCAAGTAGATGAGAACACCAAAGTGTGTGGCCAGAGTCCAGCCATGACTGACTGGCACAGGTCAGAGCCTGGCAGGGACCAGGGCGCCACAGGGGCTCATCCCAAGCTCCAACTGCGACCTGGAAGCTCATGGACACGAGGCTCTGTGCAGCAGCTCCGTGGTTGGCATCCAGGGCCACTGGCCACTACTCCCAAGTGCTTCTAATCCACCCACCCCTGGGGCCAGTCCCAACCTTGACAACATTACTGTGGGTGTCATCAGGGTGGTCTAGTTCACTTATACAACATGATCCATAGCACAACCCTTCCATGCCCTTCACCCACCCGCCTCCCTCCCATACCTGTGCTGGCCCTGCCTGACTCCTGAGACCCCACCCTTGGCAGTGGGGGTGCCAGGCCAGCAGCACCAGGGGCCAGGGTTACAGAGATGCACTTGGCTGCCACATCTGCCAAATGAGATTTGGTTTCACTTTTAAAAGTCAAAGCTGTCATTTAAAAAAAAGTCACAAAGTAAGGATTCAGCTTTCGCTATAGAAACCTTTTTGCAAAATACCAAAACCTTAGACTTAGGCTATGCGCAACTAAAGGAAACATAGGTAAAGACACCTCAAAGAGGTTACCCATGAATACTTCCCCAAAACAAGTGGTTCTAACTCAGACCATGTCCAAGTTAAGTCCAAAACATAAGTAGCAGTATGGGAATCTTCCAAACTCCGTAAACAAAGTGACCACGTCTCCCTGTAAGTGCAGCGTTTTTCTTGTGTCCTGACACACAGAATCATTTCTGCGCCACTTCAGTAGGAGCCTGCAAGAGATGACAGGAAGTCAAACAGCTACTGGGAGAAGTCGGCACTGCTGCCCCTGCTGGGTCAAGCCAGCTTCACCATTCCTCTCGCAGCCCACTCAGAATCCTACTATACAACACACTGGGGACAGGAAGCAGCTAGTGGCAGAAGGCCTAGTCCCTCCGGGGCCCACGTGGCCACCCCAAGGCCCTGGGGTGGGGTCGGCACCAGACACCCTATGTGGGATGCTCTGCCCAGACCCTAAGGTGCCCACAAGTCCACTGGAATCTTGTTAAAAACAAAGCCTCTGTTATTTAGGGCCAGCTGGGCCGAGACACTGGCCTTGGAGCAAGCTCTCGCTGGCTTCACTCGGGTGGCAAGCTCCCAGCCACACCACACCCGCAGGGCCTCACCTTCCACACCTACAATCTCACTTGGAGGATGCTGGGGCCTGGGTTCTGCCCCCACAGATTCAGGTTTAGTTGGCCAAGAGCCCCCTGGGTAAGACAGGGTCGAGGCCCTCGGTTTGGCTTTGACACCTCCGGGCCTCTCTTCCTGGGAAACTGAGCCTGTTCTTCCCAACATCCCCCCCACTCCTGTACTCTCCAGGTGCACCTGATCCTATACCCTCCCACCAAAGCATCCAGAAACCAGAAGACTTGTCCACTCACCTATGACTACATCCTCACACCCTGCCAGTTCCAGCTCTGTGGGAAGTGGGGTTGCGACGGGTGGTCCCATTGCCTCTGCCTCCTCGGAATCCACCCCGAGAACTGCGGCCACGAAGAAACCTCCCTGACACCCCAAAGGTCTCCGTGTTGAGCTTCCTCTCTTCGGCCCATGTTGTCCGCCTAGAGCTAAACCATACAGGAAATGCTGATTGTAGCAAGCACTGACTTCCAGGCTTCTGGCCAGGCTTGTCCTCAGGGCAGCCCAGGGAAGGAGGGACAGACTTACCAGGGCCACTACAGGGAAGGGGTGGCCCTGTCAGCACTGGAGTCCGGCTCTAGCACTACAGGTGCTCCCTGTCACATTTTCTTTCAACCAGGACTGTCCCCACAGTGGGCAGGGGCTCAGGATCCATCTCTACCATCTCTGTCACCACAGGCGAACAGTGATACTAGTTGGCTACCAAGGCAGCCCCTGCTGCTTGCTGGGCACACAGAGGAGGCCTGAGGAGGCCGAGGGGCCCAGGAGACCCGAGGCTGGAGCATCAAGTGGACCATCCTGGACGAGGAGGGGGCTAGGCTAGAGGTCCCTGAAATCTGATGCTTCCGCTTTGGGAGTTGGGAAGATGAGGATACAGCACAGACACACACGCCACCAACAAGCTGCTGGTGGGAGACTGTCTCCCACATCCAACTGTGTGTCCAGCATGCCCAGTACTCCCACCAATGCAGACAGCAGCTCCAAGGGCAGCACACACACCCCGAGCTCCTCTTCAGCAGAAAACCTGCTGCTCACACAGACTTCTGTGTTTAAAGAAAGAGCAACTTCACCCATCAGCTGCTCAGGCCAAAAGACTGAGGAGTCATTCTGGACTCTTCTCACGTCATGTTGGCCAATTCTGTTAGCACCACCTTCAAGATAACATTCAGACTCTACCCCTTCCCTCTGTCACCATCACTGCGGGGTTCCAAGCCACCTGCGCTGCAGCACTGCCCCCCTAACTGGCCGGTAAGCAGCCACACTTGCCCACTGTCCAACCACTCTCACCAAGGATGCCGTAAAACATCAGACAGCACCACTCTTCAGCTCAAAACCCTCTGATGGCTTCCCTCGGCACTTAAAATCCAGTCACTGCCTTGCCTTACACAACCCTACAGGAACCCATCCTCCAGACGCAGCCTGTCTGGAAGCACGTCCTGCACTCATCTACACAGCCTGCTCCACCCGTGAGAACTAATCGTCCACTTCCTGTCGCATGCGCAGCTCCAGCGCATCGCCCTGGCTGCCTGGCCTTCCACAACGCACTATTCTATTTCTCGCCTGGCAGAACAGGAGCATGAGGAGGTGAGGTTCTCCTAGCCTGCCCTGCGCATCCCTGTCAACACCCGGCGGCATGTCTGGTACTCAATCAAATGGCCCCAAGTCTCCACGCCAGGCCTGCACTGTAGACGCCACCCTCTCTAGGTTGTTCTGTGGGACATCTGACCAGCTGTTAGGTGTGAAAAATAAAACACACCACATTGTTCCTGGCCTCAATGAAATGAAGCAAGGCCAGTGTGATCATGTTCTAGCCGCATGCCTCAGGCTGCAAAGCAAGGTCCTCAGAACGCTGTGGCGGCGGGACCAGCAAGCAGACCACAGTAAGGCTCACTGAATGTAAACGCAGGTCTGCCGGGGAGGTGGGGAGGGGCGTGCAACCCAGCCTTTGTGGGGACAGGACACCAAAGCCAAGAGGAAACAGGGGCTTAACCTCAGCCAACTCCTCAGGGCAGGACCCCCAAGAGGCTTCCCACACACAACCTGCTGGGACTCCCATGCCCATCACACAGAAATGCAAGCAGGACCCTAGAACAGCTACCCTGGGCCTCTGGGTCCAGCTCTGCCATCAGGTGAGGGCCCTCAGTCCTGTCCTTTCTAGACTGCAGGACTGTCCTCCCCTCATCCATTCAGCCTGTCACCTGGTCTTGAGTTCAGAAGAGATGTTGTCAAAGAACGACTTGGATTTGTCATAATAGCAGTTGGGCCCCAGAAGGTCTTCTTCGGCTGGCGTTTCGTCACTCTGGGTCACCACAGCTGGGTCCTTCTCTTCCCCCTTCTCAGCCTTGTCATCTACAAAAAGAAGCAGAACACATGGAGGCGCAGGAGAGGCAGAGAGCACAGCCTTCTAGCAGGGTGTTCTTCCGGACCCACTCAGTAGCCACCTCAGGCTGAGACATAACCTACACCTTGTGCTAAGCAGAGAGATCTCCTTCTACCCTCTCAGCACAGGTCTCCCTCCGCCGTCTGGGCCATGCAGTCGGCACCTTGTCCCGTGCTCACACCTCGCTCCCAGTAGCACACTCCACCTCGCTTCATTGACTCCTTACCCCAGCTCACCACCAGCCTGGCTTCCCTTTCCTCCAGGCATTGCTTCGTTTTTTTTCTTCTGAGATGGAGTCTTGCTTTGTCACCCAGGCTGGAGTGCAGTGGTAGAATCTTGGCTCACTGGCACTGCAATTTCCACCTCCTGGGTTCAAACAATTCTCTTGTCTCAGCCTCCTGAGTAGATGGGATCACAGGCGCCCACTACCATGCCCGGCTAATTTTTGTATTTTTAGTAGAGAGGAGGTTTTGCACTGTTGGCCAGGCTTGTGTTGAACTCCTGACCTCAGCTGATCCACCCACCTTGGCCTCCCAAAGTTCTGAGATTACAGGTGTGAACTACCACATCTGGCCAGGCATCTCTTCTTAACACTCTCTAGGGGTACTCCTGTGGGGAGGATAATTTTCAGAGAATGAGCCAAACCTTTAAAATTCAGTTTCTTCTTAAACTCTTTGTCAAGCTCCTCTCGGTTGAACTGGGCATTTGCACTCTCAAAATCGAAGTCACCCTCAAATTTGATTGTGTTTTCCTTGACATTAGTTGGACGGTTTTGCCCTCTGGAGCGATTCCTCGTTCGCCTGTTTCCTGTGAGGAGAAAGGACAGCACTGGCTGAAGTAGGTCACTAACCCAAGCACACCCCCGAGGCAGCAGAGGGGGCAGAGCACACAAGCAGTGACTTCACACCAGCACCCCTGAAAAATTGTCACCCAGAGAAGCAGGCAGGAGGGCAAGCAGAGCTCATGGCCTCCAGAAGTCAAGTGGCAACAGGAGTTACCTGATCGCCTCCTCTGAGGTCTTCTGTTCTCGTCATTCACCTGCCCCTGAGTTTGCACAGCTGCCGGCTGGACTACATCTAAGGCGCAAAAGGGAAGAGTAAGGCGAAGCTCCTGCAGAAGCCGGAAGCCAGAACCCAGCTATGGAAGCACCACCACCACGGGGCACGCGGCCAGGGCAGCACTGCAGGCTACTGCACGGGCCTGCCCTGCAAAAGCACATGGGGCTTAGAATGCGGGAGTAGTATTTTTTAATTAATTTTTAAAAAATAGCCCAGGAAGTAGTGTGCCACTTTTAGAACATCAAGCAAACTCCAAGAAAACATGTGTTCCATTACCGCTGGTGGTCTTGCTGCTCGGGGGGACCTGACGACCACTGAGCTGCGTCCCTGGGGTGCCCTTGCCAGGTAACAGCCTTTTAGCATTTAGGTTATCAGCAGAACCAGTCTGGACACCCTGCTCCACCATGGGGCTCTTGCCGACTGGGATGGATGGAAAACCAGCTCCTGAATTGAGGGGAGGGTAGTTTAAAAACAGAGAAAAGAAGCAAAACTTAGACCTCCAGACATTTCTCTTCTGCTGGCATGTCAGGAAGGAAAGAAGGGTAACTGCCTAGAGGTTCTACCAAATCCAAGCAAAGCTCTCCCCCAGACTGGGCTGTTCCCTCTGAGGCTAGCCCGGGCGGCAAAAGAAGGCCAAGTCACTGGGCAGCACCAAGGCCACTTGATCTTTGGACTGCCCACCCCAAAGTCCTGAGCTCCCCAAGTTAGGGGACCTCAAGGAGAGTAAAAACACTATGCCTACCAACAGGCACCTTCCCAGTGGTATAGAAACAGCTTTCTTAAAACCACACATACACCAATCCCAAAGGGGCTCAGTAGTACCAAGTGCCTGGTGAATTCAGGATCTGAAAATCTGTTTCATTCTGGTCCATACTGGAGAAGAACCAGCCCAGCCTGGGATTTTCTAGAAAATGCAGTGATCGAATTCTGATGTTAAATTCTAGAACACTGTCATTTCCACTTAAGGCACAATAAAACTAAAAACGATGAAGTAGGAGCTGACTTTCGAAAGGGGAGCAGCCTACACTTCTCTCAAGGGCAAAGGCCCATCATGAAGACATAAAGGGCTCCTAGATGGCCTTCAGCAAGGGGCTGTGCTTATGAGACTGCAGTCCCTGGGCCCACACCCAGGGGATGAACCCTCAGAAACCAGGCCCTCTGAACCAGGAGGAAAAAGGGAAACACCACCCATCTCCTCTCCATCTCCTCCCTAAGTTCGAGGACCTGTGGGGACCCTAAACAGGACAATGTGGAACTGGGTACAAGTGAATAGAGATGTGAAACGGAAACATGCCCTAACCACGGGAAAATTATTAGAGGAATACAAATGAAGACTGAGGATCTCACCTGTTTTTATGAAATAGACACTAAAAAAAAAAAAAAAAAAAAAAAAGCGGTGTAGAAAAATTCCTTGTAACCAGATCAAGAGAAGCTCTCAAAAGGCAGGCCAGAATGGCTCTGTATAGAGGTCTGGTAAGTGTCCTCTGGCAGGAATGCACCCAGCCACTTTCTCACCGATCGTCTTACTCAGCATGACTGGCCTGGAGATGAACAGAGCACTGCCTGCTTCCTGATCATACTGTGACTACAGGGGCATGGATCTGGGGCTTGTCTGCTTTTTACACAACCAACTAGTTCAAAGTCTTGCCCTGTTAGCAGGTTTAGGTAAATGATCCTAAAAGCAATGGAGGTATCTGTGTCATTTTTAAGTGGGCAAAAAAATTACTATTCTCTAACTCAGATACATGGAGTGCATGCAGGATTCGGAAAGCAGCACTTGCAGAATGACAGACTGACAGCAGCTGTGTGCCATAAGGAAAGCCCAGGCAGCATCCCAGACCCAGGGCCAGGTAATGGTGAGGGCTCCAGCTTGTCGCAGAGCACAGGGTGCTATGTGCAACACATAAACACATAAGATCATCAATGTGAATTTTAGAACTTCAGGGTAAATAAGTAGAATGTGAGGAAAGGTCTAGAAACCCCACAGGTGCCACCACCACCACAGAACAGAGACAGGTGGTATGCACCAGCACTGGCCAGCTGGCCATCAGGCGGACACTGTCCACCTGGCCAAACAATTGGGGATTGTCACCCAAGTCCCCAATTTTGAATCCCCTAAAAGAGTGAGCTATGCACCACGCAAATCAAAGAGCAGCAAGGGCACGTGAAGTGCTTTGGGGAGTCCCACTGCAACACTCTAGAACACATTTAGGACCCAGCAAAAACCCCAGGGAAATTACTTTCTGTGAACAGTGAAGTTTCCCATACGCAGTAGTCATGGTACAAGTTAACAGAGACCCTGGACCCAGTGAGAGTGAACAAAGTACTCCGCTAATTCTTCATAATACCTTCTTTAACACTCAGAGTTCATAAATCAGGATCATGTGCTGAAGCAAACAGGCAGCTCAGCGGCCGCATGGGCTTGGCAAATGATCTGGTACAGTTACTATCATTCTGTCTGCTGTTTTACCCCTCGCTCTCAGAATGGTTTGCAAGACAGCATGCAGTTCTCCCAAACTGCTGTTACCCTTGGCAGTGAGCTGCTGTGGCTCTGAGGACAAGTCAAGCTCTGAAACGGGCTGTGGAGATGGAGAAGAGCTAGGGCTGGAAGCAGCGGCTGAGGCTGGAGGGCTTACCAACTTCTCTAAAGGAAGATAAAGGAGAAAGAGCAAAAAGAAAGCACACAAATAAGTCAGGATATATTTGTCTTGTGTCTAGCAAGCTTGGAAAGAGCCAAGCAACCTCTTGGAGGACTCTGTCATACAAACATATTTTAGAAACAGGGAGCTGAGCTGGGAAGGCCACCTGTCACACTAGGAACAGCAACCAAGACAGGCACGATTTGTAGCAGCAAGTGGCCTACAGACCTAATTTAGGATTCCCTGTCTCACTACTTCATACTGGATTCTGAGCAAGGGTGATGGATCACCTGTCAATTCTACACTCTGAGCCCATCTGCAAGGCTAGGTCCAGGTCAAGGATACCATGGGATTTCTCTTTACATATGGAGAATAGAATCATACTCTGGGATGATTCAATCTCAGTTGAAACCATTTTTGAGAGAGGCACTTACAGTAGAATAATAAACCTGATGGGTGGGTTTGTATTTAACTTCTATATTTACAGGCTTATAAATGTGCAAATAGCTAGGCCTCATCTGTAATACTACATATATATCAACTATTTCTTCTTTCAAGCAGATATAAAGGACTTCCACCTATTTATCTATTTTTTGAGACAGAGTTTCACCGTGTCACCCAGGCTGGAGTGCAGTGGCACAATCTTAGCTTATTGAAACCTCTGCTCCCAGGGTTAAGCAATTCTTATGCCTCAACCTCCCAAGTAGCTGGGATTACAGGTGTGTGCCACCATCCCCAGCTAATTTTTGTATTTCTTATACAGACAGAATTCCACCATGATGTTCAGGCTGGTCTTGAACTCCTGACCTAAGGTGATTCACCCGTCTTGGCCTCCCAAAGGGCTGGGATTATAAGCGTGAACCACCATGCCTGGCCCGGGACTTCCACCTAGATCCATGCTCTTAGAATGAATTTTGATTGGATTCATCTGTTCCAACACTCAGGCCATTGCCTCTTTGACTCTCAGTCAAGTAGTTTACTAAATGCTCTCATAAGCTGAAGATTCACTGAGTAATTTACTAAGTCTGTAGTAAAACAGTCTACCAGCTGAACACGACAAGAATGCATGTCCCCGCACTCAGGCTCCATCGCTCCACTCAGTGAGTTACACACAAGGATAGTTTACCAGACAGAAACAGGTCACTCACCTAGACCCAGGGAGGCGGCATACTGCTGGCTGAGCAGGGAGCTGGCCGCCAGCGGGCCATAGGGCGCCATCCCTCGGAAAGGGCTGTAAGGCACGTGCGGCTGGAAGGGCGAGGCAGAGGCAGAGCCCAGGGAAGACTGAACAATGAGACACTCGGGTGAGAACAGAGAAGGCTATCCTATCAGCCCACACACCTGCATCAGGGCACTTGTTCAGGTGGGAAACAAGCACTGTCCCATTAGCCTTCGTCCTTGAGACGCCAGAGGAGCCCTTGGGGTGCAAGTTTTCAGTAGGGCAAGAGCTGCCTTTTCCACAGTACTTCATTTCCAGTTCCACCTGTCCGTGTAGTTCTTTTTTTTTTTTTTAGATAGAGTCTTGCTCTGTCACCCAGGATGGAGTGCAATGGTGCAATCTCGGCTCACTACAATGTCCACCTCCCAGGTTCAAGCGATTCTCCCTGCCTCAGTCTCCCAAGTAGCTGAGATTACAGGCACCCACCAACATGCCCAGCTAATTTTTATATTTTTAGTAGAGACAGGGTTTCGCCATGTTGGCCGGGCTGGTCTTGAACTCTCGATCTCAGATGATCTGCCTGCCTCCACCTTACAAAGTGCTGGGATTACAGGGGTCTTGTCCATGTAATTCTAACCCAGATTCTCCTAACTCAAAGCCATTGGATGGCTCCCCACTGCTCCCAAAGCCTGCCCCGTGTTACTGCACCTTCCAGGATGGGTGCTCAGCACGGGACCTGGTACAGTTTCAACCCCAGAGGAGTCAACGAATGTTTACATTTAGAAGTGAAGAAAATGTTAACCTGGGCTCCTTGGTGAAAAACAAGCCATAACCCAATAGGTGGGCAGGTGGCATCAGACTTGTAAATCTGAGGTGTTGCACAACAGCAGCCTGTAACATCTGGGCATACCCAAGGGCAAGCCCTGCAGTCCCAGCAGGTATGTCACGCCACTCTCAGCAGCTGCTCAGGGCTCAGCCTTCTCCAACCAGAGACTAAGGGCAAATGCTATGCCGCAAACATCACAGGTCCAGGGACATCCACTCACACTACACACACACGCCACATACACACACAACACAGCATCCACTCACACTATACAAACACACACACGCTACTCACACCCGGAACAGCCACTCTACACTACACTACACACACACATAGAGCATCCACTCATACTACACTACACACACAGAGCATCCACTCATACACTACACACACACACACAGAGCATCCACTCATACACTACACTACACTACACACACACAGAGCATCCACTCATACTACACTACACTACACACACACAGAGCATCCACTCATACTACACTACACACACACACACACACACAGAGCATCCACTCACTGCACTACACACAAACACACACAGAGCGTCCACTCATACTACACTATACACACAAACACGCTACTCACACACGGAACATCCACTCTACACTACACACACACACACAGCATCCACTCACTACACACACACATGCACACACAAAGCATCCACTCACTACATCACACACACACACAGCATCCACTCACTACACAGAGCATCCACTCACTACACACACACACACACAGAGCGCATCCACTCACTACACTACACACAGAGCATCCACTCACTACACACACGCACACACACAGCATCCACTCACTACACTACACACACACAGAGCATCCACTCACTACACCACACACACAGAGCATCCACTCACTACACTACACACACACAGCATCCACTCACTACACTACACACACACACACAGCATCCACTCACTACACTTACACACACAGCATCCACTCACTACACACACACACAGAACATCCATTCACTACACTACACTATACATACACACGGAACATCCACTCTACACACACACACACACACACACACACACACATGCATGTGTGCACCAGGCTCCCCAGCTCTCCATCCTTAAGAGCCATGCTACACAGCACAGGCCACCTACTGTGCACTACAAGAATCACCTTCTGTCGGAACAGCAACAGCCTGGACAAAAGCTAAGCCACTTTAAATCAAAAGGTTATTCCTCCCTCACACTGAGCACCTGACCCGACATGCCACCACGCTCCATGTGGAGACCAGCATCTCTCACAGCGTGCACACTGGGGCAGTGGCACACTTACCTGAACAATGGCAGGATCCTGCGGGAGTGTGTGCTGAGCTTTCGGAGGTTCACACACAGTGATATCTTTGATGTCACTTCCCCGGAAAATGATGTACTCATAAATCTCTTCTCTGGGGGGAGCAGGCCTATCTGTGGGACGGTCTTCGGTGCCAAAGGACCTCACTTACGAGTGGAGAAAGAGAAGCGTTAAGGTGTTGTCCTCAGCCAGTTCAGTCAACCCTCACGCAACTGCTCTTAAGCCTTCCAGAAGACGGTGGCACCTGCTCAGAGCCACAACACAGCACCCCAGCTCCACATTTCAACATCTACTTAACACCCCCATTTTCAGTGTACAATGCTGATTGCGCATCAATTGGTGAAGCTCCAGACGGTTCTATATCACAAAGATGACAAGAACTATTTCGCTGTCTCCTGTGCGAACACAGAGCTCTCAGCAAAACAAGGCCTGCTTCGCAAGGCTTTCCTGTTCACTCCAGACTCTGCGAATCAAACGGCCAGCCTGCTGCTTTATGTCCGAAGCTTCACCACTAGTTGCGCCTGGAGGGCGGGGGGAGGGGATAGTTTTCGGGCAAAGGAACCTAGACGAGCGAGTGTTCCCCTTACCCTTCCATCCACAACAAGCCTTGGAACAGCTGCCACAGAAACAAGGGAGACAGAGTGCCGGGATTGCGGACCCCTGACCCCAGCTTCCGCACCTCTAAGGAATTCTGAGCCCGAGGGACTTCTTGGGGTACCAGCCCCTAAACAGCAGGCTGGCAGGAGCCCCACCGAGTCTCTTTTTAGCAGGCCTCCAGGGGCAGAGCTGGGAGGGACAGCAGCACCACTCCTGCTGAGTCCTGGGCCTACGCTGGAGCTCAGCGTCCCTCGCTGGGCTCTCCTGCAGTGAGTGCCCAGCCCTGGCACGCTCCGCGAGCTCCTGAGCCACGCAGGAGACGGGCTCCAAAAGCTGACAGTCCCAGTTTGGGATGAGTGCGTCCTGTGACCCAAGCGGCGTTTCAGACGCGTCTGACCCCTCAAGAACCCGGGGAGCCGAGCGCCAGACCCAGACACGGGACTTAGGCAGTCCCGGCTGCACTCGCACCGTTCGCTGAGAGGCAGGGAAGGGCACTCCCCATCTTCTCGGGGTATGAAGACAAAGGGACTGCACCACCCGCTGCCCCAACCTCAGCGTCTGGCCCTCCGGAGTCAGAGAAGAGCCCCTGCCTCGAAGCCTCCCAGCGCCCACAGGCGGCTGCCACCACAGGGAAAGCCACACGGTGGGCATCGGGTGCTCCTGCCCGGGCAGCACGCTGCACTAGAGCACAGGATGCGTTCGCTCAAGGCCCCAACTGTCTGATGGGTTCCAGAAAGGATCGCCGGATTCGCGCGTGGTCACGCCGCCCCCCGGCCCCGAGGCTTCCCCGCAGGGACACCCGAGGCGGGCAGGGAGCAGCCCCACTGCCGGGAGCCACCCTGGCCCTCGGGGCCCGCACCGGCAGGACCGGGCTGGGCGGCCGAGGGGGCGGCGTCGCGGGGCCCAGGCCCGTCCCTCCCCAAACGCCGCCCAGGGAGACCATTGTGCGGCCGGCCGCGCTGGGGGAGGGTGGCGCACGGGAGCGGCGCCCCGAGGAGCGGGTGAAGGCGCGGGCCGCGGGTCTCAACGCCGGGCGCGGGGACGCTCTGCGGGCGGGGTCTGGGCGCTGGGCTCTGGGTGTACGGGGGTCTCAACGCAGGGCTCTGGAGCGCCCCGGGGCTGTTGGCGGACAGGGGTCGTCGGGCGGTTGGGGCCGGCGGGCAGGCGGCGGCTGCTACCTTTGGCGAGAGCCACGGTGGAGTTGTCGGTGTCGATGGTGTAGAGGATGCCCTCGTAGCGGATCTGCGCCTTGGAGATGAGGCTGATCTTGCTGCCCAGATACGGGGTGCCTGAGGAGCCGCTCATGGCGGCGGCCGGGGCGCGTTGGGCCGCCGGGAGGGAACAAGCGCCGGGCCGCGGCCCGCTCCGCCACCGCGCGGTGGCCTGGCCGCCCGCTCCCGCGCTCCTCCGCCCTGCCGCCGCCGCCGGAGCGCCTCCTCGCCGCCGCCCGAGGGGCCTGCGCGGGCACCGAGCAGGAAGGGCTCTCGGCCGGGACTCCGAGGGGAACGCGGGGGAGGAGGGGGCCGCCGCATCCACATCCGGGGCCTCGAGCCGCTACGCCCCGCCCCCTCGCGCTCGCCGCCCATTGGCTCGCTGCGCCCGCCGTCCTTTAAATACGGCCGCGCCGCCAGCTGTGGGCGCGCCCGCGCGCCACGCCTGCGCAACAAGGCACCGCTGCTCGGAGGCGGGTCTTTTCGGCGCTCCGCCCCTTCACGTCTAGCTCCCGGCGGGCCCTGCACGGAGCTGGGCACTAGAGACTCAGCAGTCCGGGGGAGGGGTGGGAAGCGTCCTGGACGGAGCGCGCGTGCGCGTGGGTGGGCGGCCGCTGTTTGCACGCTTGGTGGGCGGGGCCTGGGAGGAGCGCCAGGCCCCGCCCTCGCGTGTGCCGGCGTGGCCCCGGAGCCTGGGCACGGCCAACTAGGGGTTTTTGCCCCCTTGGCCTCAGTTTCTCCTCCTACAGAAGTGGGGCCAAGGCGACTTCCTTATCTTGGGCCAGTTGCGCCCCTGACCCTCACCCTCGTGGGAGACCCGGGACCGGCGGAGGCCCTGGTCGCCGGGTGTTCCCGGGGAGTCCCGGGACTCCCGCCCGGGTGCCCAGGTGCCGGCGGGGGGCGGCAGCTCCTGCGACGGCTACGCTTCCGGCGTGGCAGCCACTAAATATAACATGCTGAGCACACTTTCTCTTTTAATCCTGCCACTCCTCCGAAAGCCTGCCGCAGCTTTCCAGTTCCACTAAAATAAATTCTGACTGGCTACCGGGGGCCTCGGAGGCCTCCGCTCGTCCCCGGGACTGTGGCTCAGAGGCCTTGCCCACCTCCCCGGCCGTGGAGGAAGCTCAGCCGCCCGCAGTCGTTTAGCCGCGGGCCCTCCGCGTGATTAGTGACAGAGGGCGTGCGGTGTGTGCTTTTTTAGTCTCCCTCTTGACCGTGAACATCTTCAGATCAGGGACCAATATTGGGTTCCGGAAAAAAAAAAAATCGTGGGTGGTAACTATAAAAACGCGATAGGCCTGGAGCCAAGGCTCACGCTGTAATTCCAGACTTTTGGGAGGCGGAGGCGGGTGGATTACTTGAGGTGAGGAGTTCAAGACCAGCCTGGGCAACATGGTAAAACCCCGTTTCTACTAAAAATACAAAAATAATTAGCTGGACATGGTGGTGGGCACCTGTAATCCCAGCTACTGGGGAGGCTGAGGCAGGAGAATCGCTTGAGCCTGAGAGGTGGAGGTGGCAGTAAGCAGAGATGGCACCACTGCACTCCAGACCCCGTCTCAAAAATAAATTTAAAAAATGAAATAGAGTAAGATAAAAAATATCAGAAGGTGTGGCGTGGTGGTTCATGCCTGTAATCCCAGCTCTTTGGGAGGCCAAGGAGGGAGGATGACTGCAGGCCAGGAGTTTGAGATCAGCCTGGGCAACATATGGAGACCCCATCGCTACAAAAAACTTAAAAAAAAAATTAGCCGAGTGTGGGGGCACATACTTGTAGTTCCAGCTGCTTGGGAGGCGGAGGCAGAGACAGGAGGATCACTTGAGCTCAGGAGTTGGAGGCTACAGTGAGCTGTGATCAGACTACTGCACTCAGGGGTGGCAGCAAAACCCATTTCTAAAGGGGGAAAAAAAAGAAAAGAAAATAACAGGCCGGGCATGGTGCCTCACACCTGTAATCCCAGCACTTTGGGAGGCAGAGGTGGGTGCATCACAAGGTCAGAAGTTCAAGACCAGCCTGGCCAAGATGGTGAAACCCGTCTCTACTAGAAATACAAAAATTAGCCAGGCACGGGGGCAGGCTCCTGTAATTCCAGCTACCTGGGAGGCTGAGGCAGGAGAATTGCTTGAACCCGGGTGGCAGAGGTTGCAGTGAAGCTGAGATCAGGATGCTACACTCCAGCCTGGGCAATAGAGTGAGACTCCATCTCAAAAAAAAAAAAAAAGGAAAAGAAAAAGACAGTATCTTCCATGGTGAGAATAAGTATTATTTTGTGAAGTATTTATTTTACCTATTTGTTTTGAATACAGACGTGGTAAGGACCTAAAATGTATTTCTGACTACGCTGAGAACTTCCTACCTGCCAGGCAGGATAGGTGCTGTGACTCCCCATTTGACAGAAGGGGAAACAGAGGCCCAGTGCAGGAGAGTCACACTCAGGGAAGTTGCAGGCTGGCCTGGTGGCATCCTCCACAGGCTTAGGGGGAGCATCACAGGGTCTCTTGTCTCGTCACAAAAGTGAAACCAACCTGCTCCCAGCAGAGCCCGGCAATGGCCAGTAAGAGAACAGTGACGAGTTTAAGGAAGGGGCCACAGGAAGCAGAAGAGAAGAGGGAAAATTCGGTTTCATCTGCCAGGATTTACCCGGACATTCCAGAATGGCTTCTTGGCTCCTGGAACATCGTGTGCAGGAAGAGAACAAAGACAGCAAAGCCATGGTGTCAGCCCCACCCAGGGAAGACAGGGCTCCAGCGACTGGCCTCTGGCGCTAGGGAGCGCCACCTGGACTCTCACTCTCAACACAGAACAGCCTTCCCGATTTGGACATGCAGGATGCACCTGTCAGGATGAGGTGCCAACCAGGTCTCCTGAGCACCTCAGTGAACTGACCTGATGAAGTCAAAGTCCTTGTTCTCCCACCCCACTTCCCAAGTGAGGAAATCCAAGACGAGAGGTGGTGTACCTCGTGCCTCCTAGTTTCTGAACCACAAGCGTCTGGCTGTGTTGGGGGTGGGGCGCATGCTTCACTAGCAGGAGCTGATTCTGCCTTGAAAGAGGAGCTGGATCCTGGGCGCCAGGACTGATGGCAGGGAGGGTGAGGTTCCCAGAGACCTCCGAGTGCCCGCCCAGCCTGTGGGTGTGCAGCTGGTGGCTCCCTGAGAACATTAGCCATCCTGCAAATGCCCAGGAAGGCAGAGGCTAAAAATATACATAGTCCCCAGGTCCAGGAATGCAGGCCCTGCCATTCATTCCTTGGTGTCCTGCCCAAAGCGGAGGGCTCTTGGGAGAGGTCTGAGGTGGGCAGTTGTGCGAGGCCTAAATCGACCTAGAAGTTCACTGGCAGGTTTCTTTCCCAGCTTGAGGCACGTGTATCCAGTGTCTCCACTAGAAACAGCTCTTTACTGTGTACAGGTCTGAAAAGCCCACCCACATGGTAATCACCAAGCTTTAGTCCAGTGAGCCCAAGGATCTAGAGAAATGAGCCAGGGTTTCTGGGAAACCCTGGGCCAGTTGGACTCCCTGCCTCAGTTTCTCCATTTGCCTGCCCATCTCACTGGTGTACGTAGGACCCCGGAAGATCATGCCTGTGAAGGGCTCCGAGAGTAACCAGGGGCTACTCTGTGTTGCTGTGTAGGAACTGGGTGCACAGAGGGCCCCAGAGGCAGCTGGAGAGGTTTCTGCTGCAGCCACAAGCCACTCAGTACATGCTCGCTGTGTAGGAGCAGGCAGCGGTCCCCAGTGACTGGTGGGAAGACACAGAGGCAGGATCCCTGCTCCACATTGCATCACCAGTCTAGCTGGGGTGGCACAAGCCAGCTTCCCGCCACAGGTAAGGTGCCCCACCACAGAAAATCCTCTAACGTACCCCTGAGCAAGAATGACTGGCACAGCCATTGATTTTACAGGTGTAACTGCTCAGTGAAAGCCACACAAAGTAGGTGAGTTAATTCAGAGGGCATTAACAATGGCTGGTCCACTGGTTAAAAAGTCAGTGGTCTGAAGTGCGGTAGCGTGCTGCTGAGACAGGACCCAACTGCCCCCTCCCCTCATTCAGGATTTGGCACAGGACAGGGGCTTAGGGCGGCCCTGCAGGCCTCAGGCCTTCCTCAGTCTCTCCCCCCACCCCCAGGAAGACCCTCCAACTGCACAGGTGTGACAGTGCAGCAGGGAGGGAGCTGAGGAAGGGGCAGGTGCGCCTGGTGCGAAGGCTCAGCGCCAGGTTTGCTAGGAGGGCTTCCAGGCAGGGAATGGGACAGTGAGGCTCAGAGACCCACAGGTGGCTGGACAGTAAGGTGAAGCAGGAGGGCTGAGTTGATCTTGAACAATCAGGAATTCTCTCGGACATCTGACCTGCTCTCTGTGAATCCAGTTAAAATTCATTTCCTCCTTCACAGAGCTCTGCAGGGCTGTTTTCCCAGGAAGCTCGATGAGCACCCGTGGGTTGAAGTTCAGGCATCGTCAGCCCCTCTTCCCTCTTCCCCTCCCTCTCCCCCTCCCGCCTCCTCTCCCCTTTCCACCTCCCTTTCTCCCCCTCCCACCCCAACAGCCAAGCTTTCTGGTGTGAGGAGCCCTGTGGTGATGGGAAGTTCCTTGGGAAATAAGAGGAGCCCCTAGCCAGCAGCCTTCGTGGTTTCCAGGTGCAGTACAAGCTGATGAGAACCTGGGCAGATCCTCACACCAGCTCTCGAAATGTCGGGTTCTGATAGGGCCAGCCCTGGAGCTGTCACCTCAGAAATGCAGGATAAAATGCTGAGAGATCCTAGTGGAACAGAGGACAGGCCGTCAGCGGGAAGCTGGTAGTTTTTCTCTCCTGGGGGCTGTGAGGGCCCTGCTGCCTGGCCTTTCAGGAACGGCTGGGGTGGGGTAACAGTCCCTGGCCCTGTGTTCTACTTGGATAGAAAGTAAATGATGAAAAGCCCCTTCTAAGTCAATCTCCCACTGTCTTACTGAGTGCCCACCAGCCTGCTCCCACCACTCAGTGCCAGACCTGGTGCCTAAGCCAGCCATGCGGTTCCTCCCCTAACCCTTCTACAGCCTTCCCAATGTGGGGGTGCACCTTCAGAGGGGAGGAAACCAGGCACTCATCCTGGGCGAGGTGACAGTCAGGGTCACACGCCAGCACTTGGCAGGGCTGGGATTCCTATCTGAGTCTGCTGGCTGCTGCTAACTCTGGGTTCTCAACGTCCGGGCCTCCTCCCTCGTGGTCCTCTGTGCTCAGCTTTCAGGCTAGGGGGTGGGTAGTGAACGGCAGGAGGGGCAAAGCCCAGACGCGATGTCTGCACTTAGAGCTCATGCTCTGCAGATGTCCGGA